GCATAAAGTTAGATCTAGCACACTTGCAGTAACGTTTTTCCATTCAAGCGCGCATAGAGGGTATTTAGATGTTATCTTTGATATTAATCAATTCATTGTGAAACAATTCCATATGTATCGGTTATACTATGAACTTAATGTACAAAATGACAAACATATATTATCCATTAATTGTAGATCTATGGGATGGTAAAAATAGCGTTATTAATAATATTTTTGGTATCATTGAGTCTTCTACAAAACAATTAGGAAATCTTTCGTATTGATATAACAATTAGTATCATATATATGTACACATACTTGCTGGTGTTAATGTCCTGGCAAGAAGATTGTTATTTGACACAACATATATACCTTACATCTGTCATACGTGGGATTATTTTAAAGTACACGCACAATCGCTCGATATCTAGTTACTTAAGATTCTTTTCACGAGGTTCTCTCGTGGTGAAAAAACACAGATCTTTTATTCTACAAAATATGAAATCGTCATTAGATGGCCTTTCCAACGAAACACCCGAGGAAAAAGCACATCATTTTATCTAAACTAAATTTCGTTGCCAAAATATCGCAAACCTGAGGAAACAATTAGTATTATCACACGCTACTTTGTTTTTCACTTACTATAGTACATTCAGTATATATCGTAGGAAATGGTATTTATTTCCATTATAGATAAATCAAGTAAAAAAGTCATTTTCTACATAGTTGTTATTAATGAGGCGTAAAGTGCGCTATGTTACACAAACATCTCACTGATCAAGTTGTAATTGTAGCATGCTGTCTGTTCTTTAAATGTTTCATTTCAAATAGGTGACAAAAAATAATGTAAGCTTTTGAAGAATTTTAAAAATAATATTTTCATTTATCGTATTACTCTGATTTTAAAGAGATTATTATCAATGCCTCACAATTTCTGAAAAAAATATCAAGATTTATATAAAGTAATGTTAAAACTAATCTGTCAATATATGTACACCAAATGAATAGGTAAACATGCATTGTGTGATATGAAGCTGAGCGTGCTTGACGTTCGTTTGTATGCCTGTTGGTTCCGTTGTCGTATACCTTGTCCTTTTTTCAGAACGTAACATTACATGACATTTGTCGTTGCTGAAACAGAAGATGCGTTTTCTTACTCTTCCGGAACACTTGGTCCTATTCTCCTTGTACTTTTTCAGGAGACTCGATGTAATTTTTGTTAATGGAATTTGTGTTTGGAATATGATTAGGCTGACATGTTGGTATTTTTCTTGATTTTGTAAATGAATAAATGTATATACATATGATGATGTAAATGAGGTATACATAAACGGGTCCACAAACTTGAAATGTGGTTCTGGCTCTTGTCATACTCGATAGTATCTGTTCAAATCGATATCGCCAGGGTGACAAACTTTTTTTCTGTAAATACTAAGATATTACTTATTTGCCTACATGCTATTCTGATGGAGCGTACATTTTTAATCTTAAGTCTTGGTGCTGGAAATGTAAACTAACACCACAGCGGTCTGTATATTTGCTACCTTTTAAAATCAATGATGTGCCAGGAAATATTATCTCTCAAATCTACCATGAAAGACGTAAGAACTATGCTAATAGTTGTTATTTAATAAGTTTGGCCAATGACATCAGTGATATCAACGTGTTACATAAGTAGATCTTGAAACCGCAAAGGAAAGAAAATACGTTGATCAACTGATTGAAATGACTCTTTGTTACAGAAACCCGACATCATCGCATATAAAGGTACCCTCCCGCCACACCTGGTCTTATCCTTTTTCAGGAGTCTCTGTGTAAATGTTTCTTTGGTAAATATATGCCCCTGTTTTATTGCATTTGAATTTTAATGTTATTCTGTTCCAATATTGGTATATTATTTGTAAGATCAAAGGTATTTCAGTCAAATTTGCTCAGAAGTATACTGGAGAGGAGGAGACCCATTGTGAGTAAATAGTAGGTCTACGCCCATTGGGGACTGAGGGATGAGCCATATTGTTCTTATATAAAAGCGATTGAAATGCCCAAATCTAATCTTACGGGGCACTAATTTTAGGTAAGTGATATATATCAAGGTATAGTTGCTATAGGCATATTTAACATTCCGATCCTGATCTGTCTACATCGAATTGCTCAGAGACGGAATTGACAAAATGTCATTTTTATTTCTAAAGCGAGCATGGATATATGTCTAACGTACTTAAGGTTTAGGGTTAAGAGACAATGGAAGTATAAGTGTCACCTTGCTCAGAGATGGAATTGTAAAGCAGTAACATTTGCCATTTTAAAGCGAACATTGGGGGTATTTAGATGTTATCTTGGAAAATTGATCAATTAATTGTGAACCGCACCCACCCCTTCACTTCCCCTCGTGATCAGCTCTGAGCTTGGACAGCAAGTTCGGAGATTTTTAGAGATGCAACCAGGCTAAGAAATACATGTTAATGAAAATGGTTTTGTAGGTTATCATGGTAACACATTGCTGTAGAGTCCAACTGAGCAATGGTTTATCATCGAATGACTTCAATATTCTTGTAAGTTGAGTCAAACTTAGTTTAAAGATTCAATCGGATTATGTAAGAAATACTGCTTACCTGGTAAGAATATCGTTGTATAATTATTTTTCAATTACCGATATCGTATTTCTATCTATGAGATGCGTCTAATTTATCAAGATGTAGTTACAGAAGGTTTTTTCATGGGAGTCTCGCGTGACGAAAACAAAAACTCACACCTTTAAAACTTTGTCTCCAAAGAGTAAACCAAAATTAGCCGTTGTTAAAGATGTATATCACCGACTCATTGCTTCGATGCAAAATTCATGATTAATGACCAAGATTCCAGATGATGTGACGACATTAGGAAATCCTGGTGTTGATTTCATGACAAGATAACATTGTTCTATACATTAAAAGTAATTCTATTCTTTTATTACCTATTTAATATTCATCTAACGCGTCCCATTGCTCGAGATTTTTGAACTTGACCAAGATACATACATTACATTACAAGACTTGTCCTCTTTCAAAGGACTCTCATTCTCTACACTTATCATTCACACTATCAAATGAGTGCTTTCATTCTCCACACTCACCATTCACACTGTCAAAGGAGGGCTGTCATTCTCCACACTCATCATTCACACTGTCAAAGGAGGGCTCTCATTCTCCACAAACATTCATACTGTCATCGGAGGGCTCTCATTCTCCACAAACTTTCACACTGTCACAGGGGTGTTCTCAATCTCCACAAACATTCGCACTGTCACAGGCGGGCTCTCGTTCTCCACAAACATTCACACTGTCACAGGCGGGCTCTCATTCTCCAAACTCATCATTCACAAGGTCAATACTTTCAGTCTACATGAACATACTCCCTTAAACATACACATCATTATTTACTGTGTATAAATATCTTAATTAACTATGACTTGTGAACATTTAAATGTATTCACCTTCCTCTCACAACTACATAAACAACGTTACATTCTACCTAACATATACAGAGCAGTGACTGTCTATCTGTATACCTTACATGTAATATAATTATACGCAAGATATTAAGAATCGCTGGGTGGCAATATTTGCAATATCTTGCAAACACTTTGCCCTAAAAGCATGACAATCGGTCAAGCAACTCTAGGTTACAGTGCACGTGGCCCTGTATCGAATTCTACACTATTATATTACATAACGATGTCTTTCACGGAAAGCACGAAACGGGAAAATCTCGTGCAGTGCTTTGACATTGAATTACACTGTTCGTCATACCATTAGGTAGTCTCCATATCGACATAGAGAGCATAGAGTTAGATCTAGCACACTTGCAGTAACGTTTTTCCATTCAAGCGCGCATAGAGGGTATTTAGATGTTATCTTTGATATTAATCAATTCATTGTGAAACAATTTCATATGTATCGGTTATACTATCAACTTAATGTACAAAATGACAAACATATCGTATAATATTATCCATTAATTGTAGATCTATGGGGTGATAAAAATAGCGTTATTAATAATATTTTTGGTATCATTGAGTCTTCTACAAAACAATTCGGAAATCTTTAGTATTGATATAACAATTAGTATCATATATATGTACACATTCTTTCTAAATGATATCTTACACAGATGTTTTGCATTAATGTAAACTTCAGTATCCATTATTCATTGGGAGGAGATTATGTAAGAAATACTGGTTACTGGTGTTAATGTCCTGGCAAGAAGATTGTTATTTGACACAACATATATACCTTACATCTGTCAAAAGTGGAATTATTTTAAAGTACACGCACAATTGCTCGATATCTAGTTACTTAAGATTCTTTTCACGAGGTTCTCTCGTGGCCAAAAAACACAGATACCCTTTTCAACGAAAAGTTAATTCATAAAATGTTTTGCTCTCGCCCACCAGGAATTATTAAACAAGGTGTGAAAACGCATGTTTGCTATAAAAGATAAATTGTGGATTGCATAATTCTAGTTTTAGTTTTTTATGAAAATGAGATATTTTCACTAACACAGACACCGTGATGATAGGGGTTATCCATTACAACAGGTATTTAAAACATTTGAAAGGAGATCTTGATATAGAGGGCGGGGTTATTTATGTTTGTCTCGGTAAAGAAAGCTTCATACCGTGCCGACGTCTACGGCTTATGGTCTAATTTCAGTATTTCTAGACAGGTCATGTGACACGTGACGGACAAGTATATGTCAGCTTTATAAGTGTGGTTCACTGAACTCAAAAGTTTATCTAATACATAATCTAACACTATACTATCAGATATACATTTGTATGTTATCACAATATACATGTCACGTGGTCTGGGGTGTTATGTACCCGTTGAAATTTAAAGTATTATAAAACGATGAGTAGAACACGTAGTGTACACTTAAATACGATTGAAAAAAGAAAGCGTTCTTGTGGCATTTGCATCTACATCTTAACTATTGCACAATATTGACCATACGCCACCGACTTGCTAATACTGTAGAGTATGGAGAAGACAAGGGGCACACTTGTGTTTTATGTGAATCAACGAAAGGTGAGTTAGGACGTATGTTGTAACAAGTTGTTACATAATGAATACGTTTTTGTTTCTTGTTCACACAAACTAGTTTCTAAAATGACAAGTAGCTTCTATCATATTACCTTCGTTATAGTTATTCGTTAAGTAAAGGGAGCGGAATATGTCCAAATAATGATACGACATCGATCAGCATTTAGTAAAAAACAAGAATCTGATTCAATTACCAGAGTTTATTGAAAATTTATCAAAATGTCAGCCTATGTATATTTTCTTGCTAGATTGTGACAATAATATCTAACAGCATTTGTCCCAGATATTTATATTCGGTTTGTATTCTCATCAACGTCGTTTAAAACAAGACAAATATCAAGATATTTCAATAGAACACAGGACTTCTATTCATTGTAACCCAAATTGTGTAAACAATGAATTCCGCTTTGTTTTAATCTGTCTTCTGTATATAAATGTAAGTACAATGTTTATCAAAAGATGTTCTTTGAATGATCCTTCGTATTCTAAATGTGTACAATTACTAATAACATAAATAACTTATGTAGGCAAATATATTCAAGCCTTATGTGCATAATTCAGTTACCATTTATCTTCTGGTAGTTATCCTCGGTAAAATAACCAACATACCCTGTAGTATTGGTTCAACACACCTAGTTATATACTGGTGTCTGATGTAGGAATTGTTCTATATCGGCTATTATACTGTTTTATTTTAGACAGTTATATACTGGTGTCTGATGTAGGAATTGTTCTATATCGGCTGTTATACTGTTTTATTTTAGACAGTTATATACTGGTGTCTGATGTAGGAATTGTTCTATATCGGCTATTATACTGTTTTATTTTAGACAGTTATATACTGGTGTCTGATGTAGGAATTGTTCTATATCGGATGTTATACTGTTTTATTTTAGACAGTTATATACTGGTGTCTGATGTAGGAATTGTTCTATATCGGCTGTTATACTGTTTTTATTTCAGACAGTTATATACTGGTGTCTGATGTAGGAATTGTTCTATATCGGCTATTATACTGTTTTATTTTAGACAGTTATATACTGGTGTCTGATGTAGGAATTGTTCTATATCGGCTATTATACTGTTTTATTTTAGACAGTTATATACTGGTGTCTGATGTAGGAATTGTTCTATATCGGCTATTATACTGTTTTTATTTTAGACAGTTATATACTGGTGTCTGATGTAGGAATTGTTCTATATCGGCTGTTATACTGTTTTTATTTTAGACAGTTATATACTGGTGTCTGATGTAGGAATTGCTCTATATCGGCCGTTATACTGTTTTTATTTTAGACAGTTATATACTGGTGTCTGATGTAGGAATTGTTCTATATCGGCTGTTATACTGTTTTATTTTAGACAGTTATATACTGGTGTCTGATGTAGGAATTGTTCTAAATCGGCTGTTATACTGTTTTTATTTTAGACAGTTATATACTGGTGTCTGATGTAGGAATTGTTCTATATCGGCTGTTATACTGTTTTATTTTAGACAGTTATATACTGGTGTCTGATGTAGGAATTGTTCTATATCGGATGTTATACTGTTTTTATTTTAGACAGTTATATACTGGTGTCTGATGTAGGAATTGTTCTATATCGGCTGTTATACTGTTTTATTTTAGACAGTTATATACTGGTGTCTGATGTAGGAATTGTTCTATATCGGATGTTATACTGTTTTATTTTAGACAGTTATATACTGGTGTCTGATGTAGGAATTGCTCTATATCGGCCGTTCTACTGTTTTTATTTTAGACAGTTATATACTGGTGTCTGATGTAGGAATTGTTCTATATCGGCTGTTATACTGTTTTATTTTAGACAGTTATATACTGGTGTCTGATGTAGGAATTGCTCTATATCGGCCGTTCTACTGTTTTTATTTTAGACAGTTATATACTGGTGTCTGATGTAGGAATTGTTCTATATCGGCTGTTATACTGTTTTATTTTAGACAGTTATATACTGGTGTCTGATGTAGGAATTGTTCTATATCGGCTGTTATACTGTTTTATTTTAGACAGTTATATACTTGTGTCTGATGTAGGAATTGTTCTATATCGGCTGTTATACTGTTTTATTTTAGACAGTTATATACTTGTGTCTGATGTAGGAATTGTTCTATATCGGCCGTTATACTGTTTTATTTTAGACAGTTATATACTGGTGTCTGATGTAGGAATTGTTCTATATCGGCCGTTATACTGTTTTATTTTAGACAGTTATATACTGGTGTCTGATGTAGGAATTGTTCTATATCGGATGTTATACTGTTTTATTTTAGACAGTTATATACTGGTGTCTGATGTAGGAATTGTTCTATATCGGTCGTTATACTGTTTTATTTTAGACAGTTATATACTGGTGTCTGATGTAGGAATTGTTCTATATCGGCTGTTATACTGTTTTATTTTAGACAGTTATATACTGGTGTCTGATGTAGGAATTGTTCTATATCGGATGTTATACTGTTTTATTTTAGACAGTTATATACTGGTGTCTGATGTAGGAATTGTTCTATATCGGCTGTTATACTGTTTTATTTTAGACAGTTATATACTGGTGTCTGATGTAGGAATTGTTCTATATCGGATGTTATACTGTTTTATTTTAGACAGCTATATACTGGTGTCTGATGTAGGAATTGTTCTATATCGGCTGTTATACTGTTTTATTTTAGACATATATATACTAGTGCATGATGTAGGATATTTGCTACAATGGCTATAATACTATAGGACACTTTTTTTTAGAATATGAAATACAAGAGTGAAATAAAACAATAAACAATTCTTTCCAATTCGAAAATATCAATAATTCTGTGTCCTCCATTGGCCTCAATAACGGCACGTCTTCGGCTTGGCATGCTGTGAATCAGGCACCGTATAGCCATTTGTGAAATTCGTGACTTTTCTTGACGAAGTGCATCAGCAAGTTCCTTCGGTTGAAAGGAAAGAGCGTGCGATAGCTTGATACCTGCTTGAAAGTATTCATTCACAAGTATTGCTGTATGTGGTTGAGCATTTTCGTCCATCAGTACAAACTCAATGCTGATAAAACCAGCAAAGCTTCTCACAGTTGGAAGAAGGATTTCACTTGGGTACTCTAAACCTGTAATGCTACCACATTCAATGTCGTACAAGTCCGTCCAACCATCAAACCAAACCATTAGCCAGCCCCAACCTAAGCGGTTATAGTTACTGATGATACAATCAGCCATCCCGAGCCAAGCACGCCTCCTGCCATCATGAAAGTCCTTACAGAACATGGGTTCATCCGTAAAAAGATTAGGCCTGCGCTGACGCTGTCGTCAATACACATGATCAGCTGCCTATTGCTGCCGAGCTATACGGTGTGTGAGACAAGGGCATACAGCGGGTCTGTGTAATTTTCATGATGGGCTGTCTTACGCCATGGTCTACCAAATCGAGGTATCTCGTTGACGTTTCCGGTCACCTGGAATCTATTTCATAATCGTGAAATGACACGCTGTGACACATGTGTGAAGTGTTCTTTGTAATTGTCCTGTTTGTAGTATCCCGACTGCTCGACCAACCTCTGTTTCGCCTGTAGCATGCCGAGTGCTCGACCAGCCTCTGTTTCATTTGTAGCATCCCGAGTGCTCGGCCAGCCACTGCAGCTGGCATGTGACGTCTCATGCTAACAAACACAAAAATTGATGGTTGATTTAATCAATTTCTTCCCAAAACATAACCGATACATCCCAAACTCTGTCGTGTTCCAAAACACAGGCGTCTGCAAGACGTTTACCTTGACTCCGGTTAAAAGGTTGATGACCATCTCATAGAAATAACGTGAATCGAGATTCATATGCAAAGAGCTTGTTCCCTGAAACGACAGGACTCATGTACTATCAACCATCGCATACGACGTGCTCGACATTGATGTGTCGGTTGTAAACCAACGTACTCGCGACATGGGTGTTGGTTTGCCCCTCGCAGTCTATTTCTCTCAGTTTCACGGTGGATTCGACTGTTTCCATTAACAATGGTATTTCGTGCTGTTTCGGCTGCCGTTGTCAGGGAAGTGATGAAGCCTAATGAACTGATCTTGACGTCGCGACGTTACACGTTGAGGCCCGGATCTCGGTCTGTGATCAACTGTTCCTGAGGCGTTGATATGTTAAACTCGCCGACTTATAATCGAGTTGTGAATTCCAAAGTGAGTAGCGACCTCCTGTTGAGTGCTTCCTGCTATGAGCATTGCGAGAACTCGTCTTCTGTTAATGTGCGATAGCCGTGGCACATTTGTGAAAACAAATATTGATTGAAAATGTATTGGCTAGAATGCGTCTTGGTAATAATAATTATTCTAATATTCAAAATTCCGGTTTTTACATCATCATGTGTTAGTGTATTGTTTGATGTCTCGGTTAGGTGGACAATAAGAATTCTGCTTTAGTATACCGGTATCATTGTAGAACTGATGGGAGGTATCCTTGTAGGTGCGACGGGGGTTGTCAGGCCACAGTAAATACCATATATCAATGAAACAAACAAACATTGTGCTAGTGATTTTTTTTCGTAATCAAGTTCTAGATTTGGCAATAAAGTAAATAAAAATGAAACAAAATGAAAACAAATTGGTATGGTACCGTAAACATATCGACTGTTCGGCAGTACATAAGCAATTAAAGTATAAATAATCTGGTAGTAGCTTGTTACTTAAGGCAAATGTAATGGATAGATTTCTGAAGTAACGTCCGGGTCGTTGAGAAGCTTTTCAATTCCGACTCTTTCAATGCTCTAGCATATGATGTAGCATTTCAAAACGAAATGGCGGCCTTGGCATGCAGAATTGGAATTTAATAGCAAATGTTTCGGCAGGAAAATCTGGTAGATTTTTCTCTTTTGTTCATATCATCTTATTTAGTCAATATGTACTAGGATCAGTTCTATTATAAAATCACTATGATAGTTAACATAAAAAACTTATATTATTATATAAATACTTATCTAATTATAACCTTATTACCATAAACTAACTAGTGAGAAGTATTATATTAATGTATTCAAAATGCAGTTGTTTCTAAGAAAGGATAAATTTTAAGTATCCTGAGACTGGCCGAGGGGTCGCGTGCATTGTTCCTCCTTGACAACGAAATAATTCCAACCTGCTTGGTAATTCCAACTGAAAGTCAAATTAAATCCTTAATTATTCAAGGTCATTCACTTAGATATACATGGTAGCTTCTCATCCCACCATGGTACACTCCCCATACGGACCTCTGGACATTTCGGTTATTGAGACGATGACGAGATCTTTGGTACAACATAGATATTCCATCATTTTTCTCTGTAAGAAGCTACCTTGTTTGTGATGTCCGAGCTGAAAATAATACAGAAAATGTGTTTTAAAAATGATGACATTCAAAATGTCTTAAAATAGGCCACGTGATACGATAATGTAATGTATGTGTGTATTATGAAATGTTTTAAATGATAGTTTTTCGGATGCATAGGATTGTACGGAACTGCTAATTAGAATTTTTTGTTTGTATGAAAGTTCATATTGTGTGTTTTTGTCTGATGTCTTCTTGATTTTCCTATCATGTGACTTGTATTTAGGCAGTTTGGTGTTCCGTTGCTGTGGATATTGTTACATATCATACACAATTAAATCAAATGCACCAACTTGGTTTTGGTCTCAACTTTTCTCTACGAATTTCAGTATTCAGTATTTACGAAGAAGTAGAATCAGACTCATGATATGCATTTGATGTAACATTACAACTATACAAGTTTCAAATTTTCTTTACAATAACCGTATTAACGAAACTTAAATTATACCCCAGATACATAAGAAATAATCAAGTCAACTTTACTTACTTGTGCTATCTCTCAAATCACAAGCATAAATGCTGTAAAACATCTCTGATTAGAATGTATAAAATATTGGTCGGCACTTTGCCATTATATCGAATACCTTAATTTTGGATTTGTTTTGATGAAAAGAGATTGCATTTCTAGTTAAAAACATATTCGGTTCTGAGATATCGAAGGCTAGGAAAGAGTGGCATTCATCTTCTAATAATTGTAACTTCAGTATCAACAATAGAAAGTATTTTTATCTATGTTCTAGATCGTGGAAAATCGGCCTGATCCAACAACGACATTGTTGCAGTATCTCCGACGGAATTGTATCCCAAGTATTGTATTATGTTATTAACATAACACAACATTGTCACGTTGACAATTTACAATTGCACTAATTTAAGATTGTCCTTAGGGACGTCATTGATTTTACACAAAGCACTGATAGCACCCTGAACAATACAAATTCGGATTCTGCAGTACAATTACAACCGTGTAAAATTTAAGTTACGGATTTATTAAGTCAATCAGTCTCTTCAATTATTTTTTTCAAAATCTTAAAATGCAAAACAAACAATTGCAACCAAGAAAAACATACGTCCTAATCAAAGAGGAAATATACGGAGGACAAAATCATAAAATTGTTGAGGTTTTGGTTGACAACATCTACGTCAAGTTTGGTTGTAAGATCTTCCAAAAGACTTATGGCATATCAATGGGAACTTACTGCGCCCCTATGTTGTCTGACTTGTTTTTGTTTTCATACGAGGCTGATTTCATTGGAAAGCTTATCAAAAATGTCACAAAAATCTTGCAAAGTCATTTAATTCCACTTTCAGATTATGTATATTTGTCTTCTGATGAAATCGTAACACAGGGGTTCAAAGATGCAAATTGATCACAATTATGGGACCATTTTATTATTTTTTTTCTGTTTGTGGTATGAAACAGGATGATTGTTATTTTTCCCGCTGGTTCCGTTGTTGTATACCTTGTTCTCATTTGAGAACGTGATTAAACTTACTTGGAATGACTAAGGTTTACATGGCTGGTGTCGTCGATGAAGTAGAAGACCCTTACTTTTCCGAAACACCTGGTCTTATTATCCTTGTAATTTTTCAGGAGTCTCCGTGTGAATCCTTATTTTGTTCATACTTTGCCCTTGTTTTATGGATTTTGAGATTAGATTATGATGGTGTTGATATGTTGATATTTTTTTATGTTTTTTATTCATATCGATCGATATCATATCTATTAATCATTCTCCAAAAATATGTATCTGAAATAAAAATGGTTTCCTTAAAATCATCAAGTAAAACTGACAGGAACAAAAAACGCATGCAATCAGGGAGGATGTGGATCGTGTACAGTGATGCTGTCGTGGTGGGAGAAAGCAGAACAAAAGATCAAGTATCTTTTTTGTAACCAAAGTTGAAATTACTACATGACCTAGGAATGCTCAATCTGCATTAGCTTCGAGTGAAATATTTCCAGTATAATACTATCTTCATGTCCGATAGCCATTTGATCATATAAAACCTAGCAATAAGTTATAAGGACATATGGACATAACTTTTATAATGACTATTGAGATTAGCAAGTTTCTTTTTCATTTAAAGTAACAATTGTGTCAGGTGTATTTTGGTATCGAATATGATAAGTAAAAATATGGATTGAAGCAAAGCGACTTCGCTGTTATGCGACTGTTTAGGTGATTATTTTCCCAAACTTTTTTCAGGCATGCAAATGTAAATGCTTGTCTTATGCTGGTATGTCATCTCCATGGTTATGCAATTACGACGGTGGAAGGGTTAGGAAGTACGCGACAAGGACTTAGTAGGATACAGGTAGGTCAATGATATGATGATACCAAGGGTGGTCGGATGGCGCAGTGCTAACGCACTCGCCTAACCGTCCAGGGTTCCTTTCCCGGAATGAATGTGGAAAGGTACGGGGTCACTTGCTCGAAAACGTCGGTTTTCCCCGGATAGTCCGGTTTCCTCCCACAGTAAGACCCCTCATGTATATGTATACTTAGTGTCTCTACATTACGTAGTATGTAATCTAGATACATTTAACAAAAAGTTAATTGTCTCTTATAATAAAATTAGTCTTTATGGAGACTATTGCGAACTAATATTTTCTATGATCTGACATTTTCTTTGTGCTCTTTTTGGAGGTAATAAAGAGAATAAAATTTAAAAACGATGTATCGGAAAGTGAAATTTAAGGACTTTGAAGGGTCATAGTAACCTGACAGCATCGTATGAAACCAAGAGCAAGTCAGCCACCAGAGGGGCACAGTTAGTTCTCATGGTTATGCCAATAGTGATAAATCTTATATCATATTAACGTGAACCAGGTTTTCTAACATACCATGTTTCTTAATTAAGATGGTCAAACATTTGACGTTTCAGCTAGACGGTTTTAAAGAAAAATCAAAGAAATAGTTTATAATTGTAGGCCAGTTTGATAGAATCGTTCGGTCTCCAATGTGGTTTTTGTTCACCGGGTATGGTGATGACAATGCATACCTTACTACAACAGAACATACAGCCGTCTCCGGAAGCGCTGGAAATGGCACTCGAAGGTATATTTATTGTTCCAATAGGTTCTAATCTGTAGTTAGCTTTTGGGTACGTCAGATAAAACCTTTCCCTATTTTACCAATCGAACCAATGTGAATATGATTATCAAATATATAAATTTGTTTGTGTGATTATTCTTCTGTATGTGTGTTTGTTGAGTTTTTCCATGTTTATGGTATACGATGGACATATTCGTATATTTTGGTAAGTGACATCAAATCTTCAAGTCTAACAGTAGACGGGTAGTAATTTTAATTAATGACAATTTTGAAATTAATATAGGAAGGTACAAGTAAAATGCTTCATGATCTTGTCGGACTCAAGATGCTGGAGCAGAAATCGCCAGCAATAACATTTTATGGTTCGAAAAATTTATGCACCATTCTTTTAATGACATTTTAACTGATATAATTGATGAGAACGTGTATTAAAGTAGGGAGTTGGCGTGTGAAGTAGGTCGACATTATATATTACCTAAGCTGTGTATTACCTAGGCATATATTTCTGTGTGATTCGATATACAGATCAATTTGTCCACATGTTAAAATTGATCATGTCATCAATTTCATGATATTAGAGAAATATATAAGCCTGTGTTAATAATTTTTAAAAAATGCAATTCTTTTCTTGGTATTTGTTTTTTTCTTTGACAATAAAGCTTTTTTTCAAATTTTATGCATAGTTGCACATCTTCAAGTAACGATACATAACAAACCTATTTGTAGCTGAGCTCTATGTATTCATTTAGAGATTGGATGGATATCATGTAACTAGCAAATTGTTTTAAGAATTAAGAATGGATATCACACCAAACTAAATAAGAACATATGATGCTTACATATCATAGCCATTTTTCTTTATTTATAGGGAACCTCTGTCGTTGTACTGGGTATAGACCAATCGTTGATGCTTTCCAAAAATTTTGCAAAAAGGTAAAATATCACAAGTCGTCGAAGCACGCCAAATACTGCTTCAATCTAAATGCAATATAAGCAATGTGAAATTAGACGGTTATGAGATTAATTAATACTTTTAACTTTAATTTACCGATAGCGAAGTTATTTGTTTTTCGGGCATGTTACCTATTTAAGTATCAGTATAACAGCTATAGTTTGACCAGTTAAAATCTCACCTGCTTCTTAACCCACTTACTGATCTATGGGTTGTGCAAGCCAAACAATAAAATAACAAATTTAATAGCCCAACATCATCAGGTGAACAGTTCTAATCGCACTGAGTCCATGTCCCATCGTCTATGACGATTCCATGACTATACGACCACCTTCATCAGATAAATAATATATAAAGCTTTAATCTTACTATGATTATTAACTTTTTCCTTTTTCGTTGCAACCTCCTAAAATTATATTTATTTTTTTTATTTAGATCTCCCTAAGCTGTTTTTTCTAACTGTAAAAATGTGCTTGTATTAATTAAAGTACTTGTATGTGTGTGGTGTTCAGAAAGAGAGTCTGTAGATCCTTGTTAGATGCTTATGAATAATCATTTGTGATCTAAACTAAACTCAAATTCCATAAAACTTGGACACAATATGAACGACAGAAAGGTTTTTCACGCACGCTCCTGAAAAAGTACATGGCGAATACGACAAAGTGTTCCGGAGAAGTATGGGTCTTCGTCATCGACGAAAACCGCCAGGGTCAATCCAAGTGAGTAATGTCACGTTCCCAGATGAGAACAAGGTATACAACAACGGAACCAGATCGCAAACTAACGACCAGCATAGACAGCAACGAAACCAACAAGCATCAAATATGTCCAGCTTCATATCACACAAACATAAAGAATATTTATCAATGAGATCATTATGACAATCTTCCGCATAATTTTCATCGAGCATCACATTTGAAACTCCAATGTTAAAAGTTTGTTCATCAGTTGACGACTTCTTGCAGGAAAATCAGGATAATGGAAACAGGTCATTGAATATCTTATCAACAGTGACAAAAAGAAAATAGGTTGGAGAGTCAGGGGTATTGCTATCCAGAAACGGAAATTCATAATAGGGAAAAAAGAAATCATCACGATTATTATACACTGTGGTGGAAAGTCTTCCATGTTGGCTTCGTTATAGGAAAGATCGACGGGATGAGACCATTATGGCGACCGTAAAACTTTAAAAGTTGATTTATGATTATTTTCACAAATTGTTAATTTGTGCATTTAAGACGCCAGTAAAATTAATGTTGTTGTCGGCATCCCTAGTAGTGTCCGAATATTAGTAATTATACATATACATTTTGATTTTCCGATCAGCTTGAACATGCTTGAATAACAAATAACCTTTGCTGACATTTTATTTTATACCGTTGACTCATATAATAGAGTGCCTTTTGTCATCAACATGCAATAATGTTTAATGTCTGAAACGGTATACTATGTACATAATAAGCTGTTCTCACACATCATAGCTCGATATATAATGCATTTATCTACAGAGATTTGTATACCATTTTGAGAGAACTTTTTGTTCTTATTTGTATTGATGTACAAAGGATTGCGGGAAAAGTAGCTATTGTGGTGTAGGAGACATCGAAGACCTCTGTCACTGTACCATTATTGATGGTGGTAAGCATGAGGTACGTAATTCATAAATATCTAAATTAGTTTTGATATAGCCGTTGTTTCTTCAAGAGTATTCTCAATCTAACTGTCATCATATTTATCGCTAATTCTATCTTAATAATATATCTGTGAGAACATCCTATCTTCGTAATTTTCTTATATCAGATGATTTTAGAACAGTGTACATTCTGAACCGATCCACTACTAGAATAATTGAAAAAGTGATATGCAGGTTACTGATACTGCGTATTATTGTATTAAATTGTGATAGATTAATTTTGTGATAGTACAAGTTCTAAAATATATCTGATTTTAATAATATCTTATTTCATTTGTAGAATACTGGTGAAGACAAATCAAACGACACATTACGGTTTCCGAAAGAACTTAAGGTAATTTTCATCAAAAACTTGCCAGTATGGCATACCCCACTACTTGGTCTTTTTGTTGAAGTTCGTTATAGGAATTTCTCAATATCTGAAAGCCTTGTATAGAGATATTGTTTTCAGATTATTCGTCATTGAAACATTGGTGAATCCTCTAGAAGATTAATCCGTCTAGAGATCAATATAGATTTTGAGGACTAAATTATCAAATGAATACCTTTTATATATAGAACCTGGACACAGAGACACTTGTATTCCAAAATAACGACTGGTGCTGGCTGAGACCTGTGACTATAAAGGAGGCGCTGAGTCTAATGGACAAGGAGCCAAATAGCCACATCGTGATGGGAGGCACACATCTTGGTATTGTTTTACAAAGGATCTGAAATGAGGCGTCACTGCAGATGAAATTTTATGTAACGAATCTTGGCCAGCCAAACACGAAAATATCGAAACGGTTTTCATGAGATTCCATATGAAATTAAAGCAATGTTAAGATATATTATATCACCTTACTTCTAAAAGTTACATTTTAGCAGGTTATAAATTAAGAATGTGGATCGAAAAATTCAAATAGAAGACGGACATTTTGTGTTACGACTTTTAAGTTCATCACATAACATCTTTTCTATATCATGGCATTTAACCAGTGAAAAACGATCATGGGTATATTACACTAGTGACAAATATTTCGTTTTACGCATTCCCTGGATAACAGGCGTATTATGTGATAAATACATACATCATTTGTCCAATTATCTGTATAAAGGTTTGATATGGAAATTGAACAACGCATAAAGCAAATCGTTTCAAAAAACATAATCGTTTTGCTATCGTTTTTACCATATTCCTGACCCCCTGTCTACAATATTATCAACATGATCTGAAATTATGCTTAAAATAGGTATTTTTGAAAAAGCAGCAACGTTTTGATCTGTATGCTGCAACTCTTAATCCCAACGAACATATATTATGATGGCTTGTTATTTTTTGCATATCGGGAACCAATGGAAAATTGGCAATCAGAAGCTTTTTACTATCACATGTGACATATCGATGTACTGGCACGATATTAGAGCAGAAAAATTCATACTTAATTTTTATGATGATGCACTTTTCAGACTCTGAATAAATACTTTAAATGCCGCAGTTTCATGTGGCTTTATCTATCAAATCCGATTGCTATATTCGTTTTTAGTTGAGAAACTGAAATCACGGACAATCACGAAAGGAACATTGATTTCTTGTAAAAATATCCAAGAAATGACAATATTTGAACGGAACGAATATGGCATTGAAATGGGAGCAGGTCTTACACTGTCCAGTGTCGCTGAACGTTTGCAGGCGTGCTATCTCTCCTTGGATAATGGTTTGTATACTTTGGTATATACATCTATCCAGTTCATGTCGGTCCAATAGATAAGGAATAATCATAACTGATTTTCTCTTGGTCTTAAAGTATTTTCCGTTTTGATTTCTCTTCCAGTTTGGACATACACTATTTAAAATATTAGAGAAAAAAATTAAAAGTGTTATGATTGTTAATCTTATAAATAAGCTTTTGATGTATTTCACTCACCCATGTCAACAGGACAAGGTCATGTGGTGACAGCGATGCTGGAAAGTCTGCGATGGCTAGCATGTCAGCAGATTAGGAACCATGCGGTTAGTATCTGCAAAGGGCATACGTGTGTATTAACTTCACGGTTTGAATAGTAATTTTCGTCGTGGTCTGTATCTAGATGTGAAGTAATTTAGATGCTTTCGTTGTTCGTAACTCTGTTCTCATTTTAAATCAGTGACATAATGTACTTGGACTGACAAATATTTATGTGTTGAGTGTCGCCAATGACGCAGAAGATACCTTGCCTTTCGGAACTCCTGATCATATTTTCCTTTTACATTCTGTAGGGTGAATACCTTTTTGTTCGTCTTTTATCACGCTTCGATATTGAGCGTTAATTAAGGTTGGAACTGGAACTGTGCTGACAGAATTTAACTTGTGCCACAAACTTGAAATGTACATTAATATCTACATTTGTATATACTAGTACCTGCTTTATGATTTGATACTAAAACATAACAATGTAAATTGTATTTATATTGTGTAATTACCCTATATAGGCATACATTCTTTTCGTATCAATCCTGTTCCCAAGTACAGTTTTGCATTATAACATAACTAGTGACATTTGTATTAGAATATTTTTTAATGAAATATATTAACGAGTAATGTTTTCAACCAACAAACTCATATAAACAATACTGCCTAAATATGTATTTTTTAAAAATTTGGTTGCAACCTGCCAATTAACGCGTTTCATTGATATGCATAAATGACGTTTTTAAGGTGAAACTCTCGCCAATAATCTGACAACAGACTTCATCCACATTTACCCTTTTACCAATAAATCCATGATATCAAATTCTACAGATCTTGTTTAACTTTCAACAATTGGTATTTGTCAGACTCTTGGGGGCCACGTGATGATTTCTGATCCTCGATGCGATTTATGTGTTGTATTAATGGCTGCAAGGGCGAGAGCCGTGGTGATTTCTAAATGTAAGTAACATTTGTCTTCAAAATGCATATGTACTATTCTGAGGTTGTGATTGTAAATTAGGATATTTTTTCATTACCATTTCAATTTGAGTTATGAATTTAATATCCAGTTCATATGTTATATACACAGATTTCATTCATTTATTTTCAACTTATTCACTCTATAAACCATTCAAACTAATGTTATTAAAATAAATATGAATCAAAACAACTTCATTTTCACTTTGATCCTTGAGTATTGATACGTTTTTTTTACACTATAACCGGATATTGATCAGACGGACGGAGGGAAGTAGAAATGGACAACAATTTTTTTGTCAGTAATGGAAAAACATCACTTGCTCCAATAGAAATGTTGGTATCGGTAAAGGTGTCCTTTTATCCCAAGGTAAGAAAGATTAACAATAAACAATCTGCAAAAAAAAACTTCCAAGATTCTTTTAAAACAAGACATTTCAAACATTTATTAAGATTCTTAAGATGTATAACATGTTTAACGTTTAGCACAGTACTGTTTAGACCAATCGTTGAAATACGATATAACTCACCATTCATGTTTTGGAAATGGAAAAACAGAATCTGTATTGAAAACATCAAGAAACGTTCCATTTGAGAGAAGCAAGCTTGTAAAGCGTTACTCAATAAACAGTAAATATTGCTAATATTATCCTTTCCTATGTCTGCTACATATTTATTGATAATGATCCCAATAAACACTGTTTCAGGATACATACATATCGTACTACAAGCAGGCCAGTAGAAAAGGTTTCGACTACGCCCTATTAAATGGATGTTTCTCTGCCAGCCTAGATAGTCGCGGTGCCTTCAGAAGTCTTGATCTTTGTTTCGGAAGTGTTCTCAAAACAACTACAAAGTTGGCCAAATGTTCAACATTAGCAAATGGAATGTAAGTCAGCATGCACAAAGCATTATAGTTTGTTGTTAAATGATTTTGCAATTTTACTGATATTATAATACCTCACTTTCACTTAGAATGATATGATTGGATTAAATGTCACCACGTGATATTATATAACTGAGACATTTCACCGAAATTAGACTATGGGGAAAATAACCCCCGAGGGAAATAACCCCAAAGAGAAATAATCCGAGGTAAAAACCCCTGGGAAATCACCCTTCGTGAGCCCCATGATTCCGAACTCGAACACCTTCACAAAGCAAATGAAATATTCTAGGCAGTATGTATGGACTTAAAAAGAGAAGGTTTCGCCAAAATCAACCACACACCTGCCATTGATGAAAACGAATTCAGGATTTACACCTTATATCACCTGATGTGTAGTAAATCTCAATATTAATGTGAACACGGAACACAAATGTTGCATATGATCTATTTTATAAATTTACACTTATGTACATTCTTTTATTCTTTATTATTTTTTTTTTTTTATTTATTTTTTGTGAATAATAAAATAAGTATGACCCTCCTTGTCGGGATACATCCGGAATTATCTCCCTAGAAGGCCCGAGGGAAAATAGTCATCCCCAAGTAGACAATTCTGGATGTATCCCAACACAGAGGGACACAATTGTATAATAAGAAGTCAATGAAATCCACTCTTGACAAATTTATTGAAGAGACAACGAAGTTTTTATGTTACTCTATTCGTACTTTGAATATATCTACTTTCAGCAACATTATCTTACTTTTTTAAATTTGCGAAAAGTAGAACCCCTCGTAAACCGGATTTTTTTCAGTATTTTACAAATTGTAGTCAAATCTCAACTAAATCTTTGTCCAAACTTCTGACTTCGTAATACTGTCACACTTTTATAAGGTATTTGTCCGACATTCAGCTGTGACAAAATAGGCCGATATTTAGTTAATAGTAACTTTTATTATTGGTTTATAACTTTATGATAAGTGTTTGAAAGAACCACACTCGAGTCAAAAGTCATGCAACGTTGTACTTGGGTCAATAATACAGGTTTGTGTGTACTTCTTGATAACAGTGGAGATATGTGCTCCGGCGGTGGACAGCTTCGCAGCACACAAGCGGCCAATGGTGAAGGAAGGATCATCTGGGAGCGGTCGAAAGACAGAATTTCGAGGTGTTCCCTCATGTTAGGAGGTGTAAAAGTAAAAATAGTAAGGAACAATATCAACAATACCAACAATGGTAGCTAGATAGATCAGAGAGGAGGATGGGGGAGGGATCTACTTGTGGTATAAACAGGTTGTGTGTTTGTTTTCCTTCAAATTCACTTTTAGAATTAATGGTGACGTCTTGTCTTTAAATAATAAGATACCTATAGACCTATATATCGTATATATCCACCAGATCTGGAAATAAAATACAAAATACACTCCATCGTATTTACCTCCACAATGTGAAATCTAAGACGCCACAGATTCTTCAACATCAGCCACTTTACCTCTTCCACAACGAAACCAACATGGACAGCCTTCCATTAAGCTGTGTAATGAGCGTGACGATTTCAATTTACCTATATGAGTTTACCATTTCTGGATGTTGACTGGATTTAACGGAGATTTAAACTAAAAAAATCGATTAAAACTTCTAAAATATTTCTTGTATATGAACATTGGATTTTTCCACAACAACACCAAACTACAAGCTGGACTGAAAGAACGCCTTCTGTCTCTTGTTATGAGAGCTCCTTTCCCGGAACTTTGAAATACAGTGCAAAATGTATGGTTATGGGTCATACATAGGCATTTTTCGTTAAACATACGATGGGCAAAATCATAAAATAATCGAGAATCTGATTGAAAACATCACCGTCGAGTTTGGTGGTAAGGTCTTCCTTCAGACTATTGGCATACCTATGGGAAGTCACTCTGTTGGCTAACCTGTTTTTATTATCATAAGAGCCTTTATCAAAGATCTATCAAAAAGGGTCACAATGACTTTACAAAGTACATCGAAATCACTTTCAGATATATTGTTGATGTCTTGGTTTTAAATAATAAGATGTTTAATTACCAAGTCCCTAGCACATACCATCCAGAATTGGAAATCAAGGACATGGCAGACATTTCTGCATTAGCACCTTATTTTCGTGATTTCCTATAACGAAACCAACACAGACAGCCTCCCATTTAGCTGTATAAACATGATATTTCAGTTTCCCTAAGGTGAATTTTCCCTTTCCAGATATCAACACCCCTGCATCTCCAACATGGTGTTAACATATCGAAGTTGATTCGATGTTCAAGAGTCTGTTCCAAGTATCACGATTTTCGTGCAAGATGTCGTCAACTGACAAGCTCATCACAGAAGGTTTCGAGTGATGCTGGCTGATGATATTATAAGAAAAGTTTGCGGTCGTTACAGTGATCTCATTTCCATTTCGAATAATAACGTATAATAGACTTGTTGAATTTGCAAATGTTTCCCATCTATAGGTATCTTGACGACAATACACTTGGTTTGGTGTGTGATGAAATTAAACGCGAGCTATATACAGAATCAAACGGTATGGCCAGCACCTACAAGCAGCATGTGGCATGTGGTTTCCTGATCAAATTCTGGAGAGAGATACAAAACAAGCTTAACCATGTAAGTAATGTTAGGAGAGGCATGCAAAATTTACGCTTATCTATTTGACGCTTTTGATGGCATTAGGTTATTAATAGTAAACGCAAATCACTTCATCATAATTATTACAACAGAACAAGAAAGAGGATATAAATGGTCTTGTTTGGAAACCTTGCGAAGGTCAACAGTTGTTTCAAGCGCCATCACCTGGACAACCATCACAAGACGTTGTTGGACGCTGCATTCCTTTGGTTGGTGCGCCTGCAATTGTAACAGGACAGGCTCGGTTTCTGGATGACATGCCGCGATTTGAAGGTAATTTACTATAAAACCAATTATTTCCAGTGACATCTCATTTTCAGTATACCACATTATAACACATGCGTATGATAGTCTTTTCTAATTTCTCTGTACTCTCTATTGTTCATTTACGTCTCATGTTAAAACAAATCATGAATGATATATTAACGTTTTCGTTTCGGACAGCAAATGGCAGGTTAACCGAATAAAGTTAACAGAAACCTGTTTTGGCCATGATTTTCATATTGCTCTATTTCATCATAAAAATATATGATAATGTATGTTTTTCGTGGTATCCCGCCTCTCTCGGCACACAAACGATCGCAATAGTTGTTCCCTTAGGCCTAGTATGCTGAATATCCATATTTTGAATGCGAAACGAAGTCACGTGACGCGTGTTGTCAAAGTTTACTTCGGCGATGACAACACTGTTATCAATACGACACTACTACACAACTCACACCTATATTCATTGACAAATGTTAAAATCGTTTTAAAGTGAAACTTTTCCATTGTATAAAGTATTTTTTGCATAATGATGTATGACCGCGAAAATAGTTTTCTCTTTCTTTCCAAATTTGTTTTGAATGGTATGCCACAACTGGAAACGGCTACATGCAATTATAAAAACGGGTCATTATTTCTTATTACATTACTGTGGCAACGGGCGGATATATACTTATCGACAACACATGGGAGTCAAACTGATGATCAATACACTAAATCAGAAATCTGGAGAAAAACGATTAACTTTTTTAATATCTCAATATATGTTCTTACTTTAGTTTGGCTTTACTGTATCTATCTTTAATTTACTAACATGTGGTTTTCACTTGCGTCCTTCTTGTTAAACTTTTAAAGACGAAATCAAATTTGTTATTGTTTCATGATAATTGAAGTGGTTAAAAAGGAGAACCAGGCCCGTATCTGTTCAAATGAATACCCGAGACAAACGACATCGAAAATGAAGGAAGGTGGTCTTTTTCTGTACTGTTTAGTCGTCGTGTTTGTAATTTACCATTCAGGTATCAAATGGTTGTTTGTTTCTTTTATGAACCTGGTAAAATGACAATGCTATCAAACGGAACGTGTTCGATGTCCAGTTTTCTGGCATGATACACAATAGCTCGTCCCACTTGTCCACCCATACCTATATCAATCAACTATTTCAACCTGTCTCCGAGATAAAATTTTTAAATTTGTATTAAATCATTTCTAAAAGTACTCGACATTCATCACTCAATCGTTTTTACTGAATAACCGCTGGGATTCATATATTTTTTTTTTATCAAATAGTCCTGGATATCCGCATAATTATCATGGTTATGTAACGATGGTTAACAAGATTACACACATATAGAACTGACAACACGTGTCATGTGTACGTGCGTAAATAACATTTTTTCACTTCCTAAACTGACAACTTGAAAGCAAAACAATCTTGGACGCCATATATCCCCGTGTTATATATCATAGAAACAATAACAGCTGTTCTTACCAGGATCATGTATTCGGAGACATATATTATTGAATATCGCCGACTCATGATCAGTCGATGTGGATTTTACAATAATTTGGTTTTATTCAAACATTTTTATTTGCTTAAGTTTTGCATAACGATGTATAGTGATTAGTTAAAGTAGAATATCTCGCTGTCTCTACACTTTTGTTCCCTTGTTAGACCCAGTCAGTTGATGACCTATTTTGACGTCACACGTGCCACGTGACCATCCTCTCATAAGAGATTCATTCTTATGCGTAACGAGAGCTTGCAACAGCCAAACACAGGTGTCGGTGCCTATTTGAACTACACCGTCTGGTTGTCATTGCTATTAGGATTTTGGTGTCATATTATTTAACAAAACCTGAAATGTGTCCAAATATCTTTAACATTCTTGTACTGAGTAAACATACTTTCGTTACTATAGACCAAAAACTGTGACTGAGCATAGTTTTTTCATGCTGATGTTAGATGTATCATTTTCTATGTGTACAGATGAGCTGTACGTTCAGCCAGTATTCAGCACAAGAGCGCATGCTCAAATATTGTCCATAGACAAGAGCCTTGCCATCGCATCACCAGGTGTTGTAGACTTCTTAGATGCATCATCAGTTCCAGGTGAAAATAAGTGGGGGCTCATTCTTCAGGACGAACCGTTGTTTGCTGAAAACGAAGTAAGTTGTTGCCTTGTTTCTCTCCTAGTCTTACGCCGAATGTATGTCTAATACTGTTTTACAGTCTAATCTTGTCGATGATTTGGCTTGATGCCGCGAACCATTAAAGTTTATAAATGCTGACAGCTGATCAGAAAGAAACCCTTAAACATGACTGTTCGCAAGCTTTGAAACTTGATTTTAGAGATGAAAACAATTAGTTTAGAAATTGTTGTTTAGATTTGGTAGATATGGGAATGTTGATAGCCATAAACATAGAAAAGGCGTCCAATAACTTTATCCTTGTCTGCAAACATTATTACATTACCTGTATACAAAACGAACAGGCCTTGCGTGATAACGAAGGGAACCCCATCTATATATTATTCTATTTTTTCAAAAGATTAAATACTAGCTAAACATGCTTCGGTATTACAATTATTTAGATTGCCTTTGATAATGATAACGACCTTCCCAATTAATATTGGATCGCGAAACTTCACAAGAATCCATATAAACAACCTTTATATCTGGCTCAACCAAGTCTTTGTTTAAACTACTAACCACCGTTCTAAGTACTATGAAATCTGGGTTACAGTCTTATTGTGATACTGTTTACTCAAGTGGAATTTTAAGCACTACAAAGAGTTTTTGTTGAATCTTTAACACCCTCTTCTTTTAAAAAACGACTGTATGGATATATGATTGTGAATTAAGACTATTAGGATACCTATGGGAACTAACTTTGTCCCTCTGATGGCTGACCTGTTTTTGTTTAGCTTAGTTTGCTTGTTGGTTACGTTGGTGTATACATTGTTCTCATTTGAGAACGTGACATTACTTACTTGGATTGACCAAGGTTTACATGGCGGGTATCGTCGGTGAAGCAGAAGACGCTTACTCTTCCCGAACACCTGGTCTTATTCTCCTTGCACTTTCGCAGAAGTTTCCGTGTAAATCATTATCTTGTTCTTAGTTTGTCATAATTTTATTGAATTTGAGTTTGGTTTATGTTTATGATGCCATATTAGTTTTTTTTTTTCAATAAGTGGTAAAAATATTGCAAAGACCGTACACAACACTAATAATAGATCATAAAAGCATTAATGACATCAGCCTTCCAAAAAAAGTTACTTAACAAAAAATATATAAGATTTCATATGTCTTGTGTTATCATTGTAGGATGGTTGATGGAACATACATTTATCAATACTTTCACTGTAAAAGATAATAAAATATTGCACACACTGGTGAAATATATTTGTTATCACTGAAGATATGTTTTAACTATATTCTATATCTGTACAAGATAAGATTAGGATATATTTAAAAATGTTATATAATATCCCAGTTGTGAGCGTCAACTGATCTAAACATTTGATTTCTGTTCTGTGTTTCTTTCGTAACAGGTGTTTTGTGTCGGTCAGGTTATATGTGCAATTGTAGCTTCATCTGAACAGTACGCAAAGACGGCAGCAGACCTTGTGAAGATCATGTATCTAGATCTACCATGCATAATCACAAATGAGGTAAATGATTTGTAGATAGACATATATACATTATAATGTCAAACCATATCTTCTCGGTCCTAAGATTTCGTAATTTAAACAGGAACTCGAGTTTTATTAGGCACTTGAGTAATGATATTTACCACCACTTAGGGTTTATATTTCTATTTTTTTTTTTTTTTTTTATTTTTATTTTTTTTCACTGTTTTAGTAAACGAGTCTTCATTATTGTTTATTTGACCATGTCTCATGAGCAGTGTTATGAAAAAAATCAAGATGAGTTGTATAATATTGTAAGAACTTATAATTATTAAAGATTCCATTTCTCAGATAATATGGATACTAAGCCAATATTTCCTAAAACAACAGCATTTTATTAGACAAATATGAAATCTCATAAGTGATATTTTACTGTTATTTTGTACCTCATGAAGTTAAAATTCAAAGGCCACTATGACGTTAGGACGTCTATATTGTAACAATGGTAACGTTTTGTCCCACAAGTAGTAATTACTCTTACCGTATAGTCATAACAAAACAATAATGGGTTATTACACTGAAAACAAGTTACTAGTTTGATAAGTGATGTAATTTACCATTTAATGAAAACATGTTCGATTTCAAGTCTGTGACCTGACAGTTGGACATAAAATGTTCAGTTCATTGCAAACATAAACGCCTCAAACTCAGGTACAAAACATTTGAATAATAACGTATTATAATAAATGATCAAATACAAATGAACAATTTGACGACATCATGGAAAATACACACATAAAATTGTTCTGAATTTTGAAGTTCAGTTTCCTGGTGCCATGTGAAGCTGTGACCTGATGTTCTTAAGTGTGATTTTTCCTTCTTTTGTTGTTAATCTTTTCTCATTTGGATGTGATACCTAACTTACTTGGATTAACCAAGCGTGATATGATCGGTGTTGTCGATAAAGCAGAAAACTCCTATAATCTCACAGCACGTGCTTTTATTTTTACCTGAATAGCCAGTTTTTCAAAGATGAAGGAACAAACTGATATATTTGTTAACGGATGCTAAAAATGTGGAAAAGTGGTACACTAAATCGGAATTCATGAATTTTAAATTTGATTTGTGTCGATTATTTCTACAAAATTTTGTTAAAATCTACTATAGACTTTATAGAGCTAAACTACTTTAGCAACAAATCAGGCCTTCAACTATGCTGTCAAAACAGTAGCCGGCAGGAAAAACATTTCTCAAAATGTCATAAGAAAATTCTTTAAGAATTTAATGTACAACTAAGTTGGAATTCATATTACATGGGATAATGTCAATACAAACGAGTAACGTTTTGTGCAAAATGTAAAAAGACTGAACTTCAGCAAGATTTCTGATTATTTGTAAAACAACAAGTAGAAAGCTAAAGTGTGACATCTACATGGTCACCTTCATCAGGCAAATGGTGTGATTGTAAGAAATCAACACACGTTTTGGATTGTATAATGATCTTTTGTATACCAAAGTAGAAAACAGTGATGGTTAAAAAATACAGAAAAAGGTACTAGAAGCATCATAAGCATGGAAATTATTTTGGTCATATGTATTTGATAATACAAACTGTGATATTAACCATTCTATATAATCTATTGCAGGACGCCGTTGCAGCCGGTTCCTTTTTTGACTATTCCTCACACCCAATAGACTGTGGAGACCCAGACAAACATTTCCCATATTGTGACATTGTGAAAGAGGGACAGGTGAGATCGGGTTACCAAGAGCATTTCTACCTAGAGCCGAGCGGAGCAGTTGTTGTACCGAAAAATGAATCAGGAGAAATTGAAATATTTACCACATCTCAAGCACCAACGTTCTGCCAGGTAATCATTTGTACAACATTTATAGTTTCATATTTGTCAAAATGAGATATACCATCAAAATAGTTCATAAAATGAAGTTCATATATAACAGATACGTATAAAGCTAAGTCTACATCAGTTATAGCAAACAAGTTTCTATATCAATTAAAGGAGAAAATTGCATCCATTGAGCAATTACGACATTAGTACTAACGATGAAAACACTAATGTATTCCAACTATGAAATGTTCTAGTATCAGATCACAGTGTATGTTGAACATATATTTACTACAACAATCCCATTGGTGAATCTTACCGATCGCGCAGTCCTAAAACGGAATTTGCACAGCTACTGACCGGGGCATTTTGTACATAAAGAGATCGAGTAATGCGAGATTTTAAAGGACGATTAAAGAACATTTTAATTCTATAGGATGCATTTACGTACAAAGTAAATACATTGCTGCATAAATATCATTTTCATTTGCAACACCATTCGTATTTCTGTTCAGCTTACAGCTTATGGAGGCTCTTGTTCTCCGCATCAACTCCCTGCCGGGTTTTGCCCCTGGAACCTGGACCCCTGAATGGCAAAATGACTGGTCTCAAACAAATGTCAAATATCTGCCACCCACCAACATAACGGGACATCACATCTTTGCATTTAGAAATACATAACAAACGTAAATCCGGGAAAAGTATTTCATCAGAGTCGAAAGCAAAAAGGAAAGAAAATAATTGCGTTGCTATGGACACGTTCGTATACAAATGTGTTGTCATAAAATTACGGCCTCAGCATGGATATAATCAATCCATTAACTGGAGATACTGAACATATATAATTACAGAGCAGAACCGAATATAAAAGATATCATTATGGATAAAAACGTACCAACATGAATAAAAAATCATAATCTAAACTGAAATACAAATAAACTAGGCAAATAGGAGAAATATATAAACGGAGACTACGTAAAAAGTAGTAGAACAATAACAGTCATCCTAGGAATAAATAATATCCCCGCTACTCATCGTTGGAAATTGTTTAACGTGACGCTTCCCAAATTAATACCTTTTACGGAAAAAGTGTCCGTCGACCCTTGCGAATGAAATATGCAGGAATTGTCACTGGTTATGTAAGTAATCTAAGTATTCATTCAACACTGATTTATTGTACAAAGCATCCAAAATTTTCTTCAAGACCCTTTCGAAATGTGCAAAAATGTTCCTATCACAAATCACACGGTTGTGAAACGGACATTTTGAAGTCCTTCTTACTTGCACTTCTCCCTTTCATATAGTAAAGATGTCAGTTTTTTTAATGGTTCGATTTTGCATTAACGAGCCACGACTGTTGTCTTGTTTACATTGTTCTGCGCATGGCGCCACTAACATACGCGGGGTGCCAGGACGAAATTCCGGATATGCTCTTCATGACACTAGAGCTGCTTTTTCTAAGCTCCAAAACCATCGATTAATAATCTTATTCGTATTACAGTAGATCCTAATGTACGTTATGTAGAAAATATTATTTCTTCTACTGAAATCTTCATAATGTACAAATAAAAACATTTTGTTGAATATCTACGTGTGTGCATATGAAGTAAATTGATCTTGTTTCATTTGTAATAGCATAAGTAATAACACAACTTAAACAGAAAACTAACCTTTCAAATGTATGCAGTGCCTATACCTAGGCAAGTCGATGATCAGAAGAAAATAATGGTTTTTAGTTATAGGAGTTATAGGTATATTACGGCGTCCGTCGTCCGGTTTTCGTCATCTGTCACCTTCCACAATATGAAAGACTGATTTTAATCACATTTGGCATGAAGCCCCCTCCGAGATAAAGAAAGCAATTTTGTGTAAATGGTGGGTCTGCCCATACCCGGTTCTTGGCCCCCTGCGGTCCAATAGGGAAAACCAATGTCTTTAAAGTCTATCTTGCTCTTCAGGAATTGCAGGATATTGTCCAAAATTGGTCTGAAGCATGTTTGGGTGAAGGGAAATCAATTTTGTATAAACGGTAGGTCTCGTCCCAATAGGGCCATATGGACGGGCACAAAAGGGAAATCAGTTTTGTATAAAGCATAGGTTTCCACCCCGTGGGCTCAGATTGTGTGAGGAAGCCCAACAGCAGAGAAATCTTACCCCAAGTAGATTTAGTTCATTTTCATATCATCGCTTTGCACCATCACCAATTCATTTTGATCTTTGGTTCTTTGAAACAGTTATAACCCCAACTGAAAAAAACTGTAGCATTGCTGAGCATCAGCAGATAAACACAGTCATAACTGATAATTTCACCTGGTGTATGGTCCCAATGCAGGACAGATTATATCTATAAGTCATTGATATTGTCATCCTAAAACCTAATAGCATTGCTGGACATCAAGAGATGAACCCTTGATCTCCGTCCCCACCCCTAGGGAATTTGAAGCTGTATCTGTGAGGTGAGAATTATCAGGGTAAATATTTTCCTTCTAACGAAATGTAAAGTTTTGCATTATTGACTTAAGTAGACAGGTGAGCGATACAGATCCTCTGGGCCTCTTGGTTGTATTTGTAGTAGATATGAAGTCATTTAAGGGAAGCAAAATTTCATGTTTTATTTTGTATATAGAACATGACATAATTTGTGAAGAGCTTTTAGATATCAAAATGAAACATTTCCCAGAAGGTATTAACTGCAGTAAAAGCTGATGGTGCACTATCAAATACCAGGTAAACAAACATACCTACAAATAAAATCCTCGCATGATTAAGTTTAAATGTAACTTTATCTATATTTTCTTATTCTTTAATCTTTGTTTATTTTTATGTAAAATATTTTTGGAATGTTTGAAATGGATATTTCATTGCAATATTTTACATACGTGTATATTTAAGAGATAACTATATATAGCCTAGTATGAATTTAACGAGTTGTAATGAAGGTTCTAGTTTCTTATATACATGCTTCTATGCTATTTGACCTTTAATAGTAACAGAAAACTCAACACGAACATATGTACAGGACGCAGACATGTTACATAACATTTAATGCAGAAACAATTTTTTATTTCAAATTGAGGTACACGTCATTTATCTTAATCCAAAATGCAGTTTGCAGTAAACAATGCTATTAAATGACAAACTAAAAAATTCTGAAAACTTAAAGTAAAATACGCTGAGTCATATGATTGTTGAATGTCGTTTGAAAGACAATGCCGTAACATTGTAACCAGCTGAAGATGAGCTCCATACTTAGATACTCGTGTCACTGTCACAAGACATCTCTGCTGTCAAGATGGTAAAAATAAGAAGTTTTTTCTCAAAGAAGGAAGAATTATTTCTATTGGTGAAAACCAACCATCCCATAAACTATTCTAATTCGTTTTGAAATGTCATCCAGGTTTGATAAAGAGAAAATCACAAACACACTTGTTTGTATTTTCAATGAAATACATTCTGCCTGAATCTGAAAGAAACAATGCAATGTCTTGGTAAGACAATATCGTTATCATCTTTATTACAGACTATAGCCATACCAGATTTTGACTGCAACTGGCTTTTATCTGTCCTTTTATATGTATCAGGTAAAAGGATACGTATATGGAGGCAGATACTCTACCTCTATATCTCAAATAGCATATCTAAATTATTCCATACACATTATAATATGGGTGTTTTATGTATTTGATCTGTATAATATAATTTTATATGCCAATTTATTACGAAATATTCGGTACAAAATAACTTAGTTCTATGAGGTTGGCACATTAATATCCATGCACCTTAATAGATATCAAAATAAAAATGTAAAAGGATTACCGTTTTATCAAATATCTATAAAATTATAGAATCCATAGACAAGAAATTTGGTGTAGAGATACAGTTTCTTGTTACACAGCCTACATATCGGAGACTGACACATTGATATTTGTAGCATATCTATGATTTACTCATGAGCGAGTTAACGTTCGATGATCGGATATAAAAAAACTGCTGATAAATGCGTTTAAATTGCCTTTTTTGATGGATTTTCAAAGAAAACAGACCATGACAATGCCGCATTTGCACTTAAAATCTAAGAACATACTTTATATTTCAGATAATTAGGAACGTTGTACGTCCATTGTTTCCCACGCGCAATTTTTATCGAAATCCAAGGATGCAAGGGTATAAAAAAGTGCTAACACATATAAATATAGTTTCTCATATTCGCAAGCAGTTTCATTTAATTCGGTCCACAACTTACACCTACAAGGTAAGGAGTAGCAGTCTGGAAAAGATTGCTTTCCAGTCATAACACTTCGTTTCGATATCATGGCAAGCAGAGATCACCAACATTTTGAAAAACTGTTTCCATGTATATTCGTTTCCATAACAACAATACTTGAAATTGTTTGCACATCTACATATAGCCAATGATATTTCTCTATAGTTTGAAATTGGTTCTAATGTTTAAGAGAAGTGTGGACAAGATCCCTGTAGTCGTAGGTTTCATTTGGTTACCATGGCACCTAAATTGCATCGGATGTTTCGGCTTTGGTACTATTACTGTATTTACAATTCTAAAAAAAACTTTATGTATTCATTTTCAGTATGATCGGGTAAATTTTCAATTATGACTAATTAGAAGCCTCCTATATGTTGAATAGTCACGGTTCTAGAACATGTGTCAAATCATAGGCGTTTATATTGTGACGTGCAGAAAAACTTGCGTATATACACATAGTTACCATGGCAACAAAGACTCTATTACGTACATGTAAGACTTTTTTGAAAATAGTGTAATTGAAATGATCAAACTTCGAAACCTTTATATATAAATCTATAGCATATTTTCGACAATTTTTTTACGGGACTGGAAATTAGTTACAGTTTTCCTCTATGAATACGCTTATAACATCATTTTACTTTGACAGACGTCAGCTTCGCGGATTCTTGGTATACCAAGGAACAGAATCGTCGTGCGACAGAAGAGACTTGGTGAGTGATATAAATCCGGCGTATTACAATGTTAAGACGCATAATGCCTTACATTTCCACTAAACAGGACAGAAAGCTTTGAGTCTTCCGATGAAGTATTTTAAAGGTCATGGTCGGAATTTTAAGATATCGTTGTTTGAAATATGATTATAATTTATCGAAAATCCTGTCATGACAAGTTGTGGTTGAAGTTTCCTGTTTGTTGTCATCGTGTCTATGCCCCGTTTTTTTTCACGTAGTATTTTTAACAGGATTTTGCGTCTGTGCACTGATATCGGTGTGTATCATTTCCAATAACTATGAACTTTCCTTATGACATCCCTTTTTTCTGTGCGTTCGTACGTGCGAGTGTGTTTAACATCGCTTAATAATACTCTAGGTTTGTATTTGATATTTAAGGTGGCGGATTTGGTGGAAGAGAGTATCGCACCCCTCTGATGTTTGGCTTTGCCGCGATAGCAGCACACAGGTATAACATTTGCATGAACAAAAATATAATTTTCATAAACTGTTCAGACAGCATACGCTATGAAACATGGTATAACAAATACTTCTTGAAATGTATAGCACGATTCACTAATGACTCTTTTCTTTAATGATTTTTTCATCGCCATATTGGCCAATCAATCGTGGCGTTAAAAAAAAGACGTCGATTTTTCAAAATTTGTTCTTTCGGGTGATCGTTTATATGCTTGTATAATAAAACAGATTTGCATTCGAATGGATAAATGATGTTTGATTAAAACATCATTAACATTCCAGGTATAGTTTATTTTATGTAGCATCCTATTAATAGTCATTAAAGGTGTACACGTGTGTTGTGCGTGCGTGTTTTTTGGGAGGTTTCAACATAAACCCCCTTGTAATAGTGCGGAACGGAAGCTGCCTTTATAGTGCTACCTCACTGAAGCACACTATTGCAGGCCCATACATCAGTTACATGACAGACAACGAGCAAACAAGATGTTGCATAACCCCAGTAAGAAAGTGATCAAGACATTTGTAAAAGAATTTGTTATATGTTGGCCTGGGTACAGTACCCAACATCTTCCTCACAGGTAAAACCACTCACCTGGAGGCAAGGTGAGGCAGTAGCTAGTATAAACTGTGAAAGATTAAAAACAATCTTTAGAAAGGAAGGAAAATACAGATCTCAATAAATCTGCAATCACACAACGTGGGAGCAGGTAGAATTAACATGTAGGGTAACAGAAGGTTTAAAATCTAGTCGACATATTGATCACAGAAAGGTCCTGAAAAGATCAACATCTCAATGGCTGAAAAAGTTATCACATTTATATATCAAACAATTAAAACAAAATATGATAATGAGATTTTTTTTTTTTTTTGGGGGGGGGGGGGGGGGTTTGTTTTGTTTTGTTTTGTTTTGTTTTGTTTTTTTTTTTTTTTTGTTATATTTTCTCGAAAATACCAAGACATCTCGGGAAATTGTACAAAACACGAAAAGATTCCTCGAGCTCCTCATCAATCGTGCAACAATATATTGTACGTCTGATACTCAAGGTTACACGATGGAGAAACATTATGGAAGTTAACTCAATAATCATCCTACTAGAAATTATCGTTTTATGAGACTGATCAAACAAGACAAAAATAGTCTGTACATTCGTGGTTTCCCAACAGGATAAAACGTCATCATTTGTTTCGCAGATTGGGAAAACCAGTTCGTATGATCATGGATAGGACGACCGATTTCAAAACCACCGGCAAACGTCATCCATTTTTGTCAAAATATAAGGTAGGCTACTTAAGATGCATTTATCAGTCAAACAATAAAACCAGTAAAACGTAGTGAACGACAACATACAACGTAAAACTGAAAACGACTACTGACTTCCGTTCGTCTCATTGTGCACGGCTTCTTCTTTCACTCCAATAGCCTCGATTTGGTATTAATTATACTATACATCACGATCACTGATGGTGGCTGTAAACCTTTGAACTCCCTAATTATAAGAGAAAAGAAGTCTTGTTTGTTGCTGAAGCGGATTTCGGGTTAATACATATTTTTATTTCCGTATAAATTAGGTAGGTGGGGATGTTACAGCGAATTTATATTATATTTACTTGAGTATTTAAATTTGGAAAACTAGTGTTAAAACTATGAGAACACATAATTGTCATCAAGTTGTAAGACCTTAATAGTGATAAAATTCTTTTACTCCCTGATTTGAAGGCGGAACGAGCATCAAGGAACTAGTGCTTGTGAAATAAGAGGTTGTACTCGGCACAATGACATCAGATAACAAATCGACCGACCAGCGGTTACTTATTTCATAGGAGAACTCGCCGCGATGTTACAGGCTATATCCGAACGACATTCAAAAAGTCGAACACTATTGAGAGGCCTACACAGCTTTCTTTGCGCTTTTTGCACGTGCTATATGTAATAATCAGCCATTATATCAAGGCTTTGCCGAAGAATTGACATTTAGTTGGATATTTGTGTTCGTATGAGACTTAAATCGCTACGATATCAACGGTTTAATTGATACCTTTCAAAATTAATATAACGTGTTCCGACTTCCTGTGACGTGATGCCCACGTTTTGATTAAAATGCAAATGAACTGTTTTTTTATATTAATACAATCATGTTTCTGTATGATCTACATCCTTATAGAGCAAATATAAACTGTCAACATGTAAAGTTCAACTGACATAGCGATATGTATCACATTTTGTACATGTACCTATTGTATATCGTACTCTTATTCACTTCGTTGTGAATAATATAACACTATCACATTTTACGTAGGTCGGTTTCCGGTGTGACGGCAAGCTGGAAGCTGTATCTATCCACTTCTATATCAACGCTGGGTATACACTGGACGTATCAGCCACGGTAAGTCGATCCTAGCCATAAATGTTCAGTCTACAGACAAATCAGCACAGCAGTAAGGTAAAATACTATCTATAATCTTTATACCTGTAAATTCTTAACATATGCAGGAAAATTGCAGGGTCAGAGCTGTGTTGCCATGAAAAGAAATGGGTAATTAAACGGGAGTAATCTTAAATTGAAGACAAAGAGTCTATGGACGACACCCGCCATATAAATCTTGGTCAACCCAAGTAAGTAATGTCACGTTCCCAAATGAGAACAAGGTATACAACAACGGAACCACATGCAAACTAACCAACACAAAAGATACAAAATATCTTTTTAATGACATCACTATGGCGACCATAAAATTCTACATCACTTTCATAAAGATATTTCATTCACGTAAAATCAGAAACACAACTTTCCTGGATTGCTAGTAATACAATAGTGTTGTTCGTTTGTTAAGGACTACGAATGATACCTGGATCACAGAACAATCTCAGTGTCGGTAAATGTGTTAATTACACAATATCATGATATAATGACAAGGCAATATTAATGTAAAAATATATACTTTATTCGTTATGTAGAAACCAACATTATTAGTGATTCTCTTTCAGATATTGGATAATGCATGTTTCAGCGTTGACGCAGCATATAAAACACCCGTGTTTTCCGTGTACGGGCACGTGTGTAAGACGAACACGCCCTCCAACACATCCATGAGAGCATTCGGAGCTGCGGAAGCGGTTTTCGTCATGGAAGCCATCTTGTGTACTGTAGCGGACACAGTCAAACTTGATCAGGAATATGTATGTTCAGATACTTATTGTGATAAATTAGGATATCCTTTCTGGAACATTTACCTTTATTTATTCCTAATGACTGAAAAATACATTATCAAAATACCGCAACTTAAACCCTCTGTTATTGCGGTCGTGTACATGGGAAAGACAGGTAGCCACCAGGTACTTCAAAATAACTGGTCACGGGGAGATAAACTCAACACACAAACAAATCAAATAATTATTTATTACGCTCATTATGCATACAATCCAAGAGGCTACAGATTCCCTATGATTAGAAAATATCATTGAAATGATATGTGATTAATATATCTGTCGATTGTAGTATTTGTCTTAAATACAGGTACGCCAACTTAATATGTACAAAGAAGGCAGTATCACTCACTACAAACGGGAACTAGAAAATTGTATGTTGCAACGGTGTTGGCGAGATTGTATGACACAAAGCAAATTCGAGGAAAGGAAGAAAGCAGTCACGCTTTACAATAGGTACTATTTCAACGAAAAAAGGCATTTCGTTATTTACATTTTCCTCCAAAGGCAAATATGGCGTTTTGAACTACCTTGAAAATATTAGTAAAAAATTAATGATCATATTTTTCTTTTTTTTATAACTGCTAGAACAATATATTTTCTGAAAGACTTGATATGGAATGGATATAAAGCAACGTCATCAAATAATCAATTATTTCAAAGTCATATTACATGAAGCAATATCTTTTTGAGTAATGTAAGTGCCACATCCATATCATAAGTGTCAAACTCCTAATAAACACATTTTGTTCTGTTTGTTATAAGAGGAGAAATTATACCCTCGGAGGATGGGCGTATACTCGATATCAACCAATTCTAATAAAATTACCTAGCAATGTTGGAGACCATGTGCAGTTTTGCATGCAGTTTTTTAGCAGAAATATGGTTTGCCATAGAAGCCAGTTCACCATACAGTGTGTTGTTTCAATGATTCATACCTTTCCAGCTAATAGATCGATTTAAATGGCATTTTATTGATCCATGTTGATTCAAAGCCTATAAATTTGACAGATGCGTTGTTTCCAGAACCATTACAATCGAAATATAAGATATAATGGTGACTTCTGATTGGTCGAAATCGATATGTTATCCGATGGTAACCAAATGACGACCTTTGTTTATCTGAGGGGTGTATCCAGTGTAACATTGTTAGAGTATATTGGAAACTTGTGAACATATTCTACTGATGATTAATGTTAAAAATTCTATAGACTATATCTAACAAATTCTGGTGGCATAAAAACACAATCCAACATTCTATGGGGGCTTTTCTAAAGCTAGAAAATCTCATTAACAGCCAGAACAAGTTCATGAAGAAAGGGATTGCTGTGATGCCACTGAAATTTGGGGTTGGATATCCAGTCCGACATTTAAATCAGGTACGAAACCTTGATTAAAAGTAAATATCACAAACATTAAATTAAAAGTTGAAATAACTCGAGGGATAAAGGAACGCAGGTTGCCATTATTTGCAATATCTTGCTAACGCGTAGTTCAAAAACAATGAAAATCGGTCAGGCAACTCTCTAGGCCACAGCGCACGTGGTCCTGTTTCTAATATTGCATTATTGTATTGCGTGACGATGTCTTCCGAGGAAAGCACGAAACGGGAAGACATTGTGCACAGTAGTTTTGTTACATTGAGTAACACTGCTCGTCATACAATTAGGTAGTCTTCAAAGGGACACATTATTAATTCCTGATAGCATTAAACAATGGCACGGCTGACGCAAGTTTAGAGCGGTCAGGCCATCATAATTATGATTTTGCAGGGTCAAAGGAAAATACAGGTTGCCATAGATTTCGGTGTCCATATTTGCACTTCAGAAAGTCATGTTAGACGTCTAAAGGAAACCTGACGGGTTGCTGACAGACCTAGGTCTGATCGTCCTCGTGTGACGTCGCAACGTCTGGACAGATTGATTCGTCTTGCGCATTTTTCGCAATCGCCACCGTACTGTCACTCAATCTACCCTTCATACAATATGTACTCATATCAATGCAAAAACTGTAAGGAAACGATTCGGAGAAGTTGGTCTGCTGTCACGTCATCCGCTTGTAGGTCTGCTCCTTATCGCCAGCGCCGTATGGCTTGGATAGCGGCACATGCCCGAAGAATATTTCTATTTAGGCAGTGGAGGTGGGTGTTGTTTACTGATGAGTCCCGGATAACCTTGTTTCCAGCAGACGGTCGACGTCGTGTATACCGACGTCGTGGGTAACGTTTTGCCGACTTTGCGTAGTAGAGACTGATAGGTTTTTTGAGGTGGATCGGTGATGGTGTGGGGAGGAATCTCACATGGAGTTAAATCACCACTGGTTGTGGTAACCGGTAATTAAATTCCGCTTGTTATAGAGATGAGATCCTTCGACCCCATGTTGTCCAATTATTGCAAAAAACAACTTCACATTCCAGCAAGATAATGCGCGGTCCCATGTAGTAAGGATCCGTCTTGACTTTCTCAACAACAATATCCACCCACTAGACTGACCGCCATACAGACCCGACCTCTCCCCTATTGAGCACTTGTGTGACCAGCTGGATAGACAGTTTTTGACGACACCAGCCTCCCTCTGTTACTCTGGCCCAACTGAGAGCAGCCCTCTTGGAAGAATGGGCCAACATCCCGATGAGTAGGATAAACTTACTCATGAACTCAATGCCTAGGAGAATCAGAGCTGTGGAGAGAGCGAAAGGGAACACACCCGTTATTGACTAGCCAGCTCCAACAATCAGGCCATTTCGATTACAGATTACTCTCTCAGAGTTCTCTTTCAATTCCCTTCAATCACTTCTAAATCGTTTACCAGTTACAAATCGTTGATTTTGCAATTTGTTCTGTATTGATTTTTATTCATTCTTACTTTCAAATATTGAATATTTTTCTCGGCGCCTTACCTAGAATCATCTTCAAAGTTTACCCTGCGTTTTTTATCCCTTGAGTAAATATTGATTTAATTCATAACTTTGTGTGATGATGCTTCTGCATTTCATGTCTGCTTCATTAGCCGGTAATGTTAAACGTGTTTAAGGGAGCTGCTTTGGTGAACATCTACCTTGATGGATCTATCACTATAGCTCACGGAGGCGTGGAAATGGGGCAAGGCCTTCACACAAAAATGATACAGGTTAGTAACACCGTCCTTTGTTTACAGTCATTTTGAAAATCGCTAGTCTAATTTGACGTTGTTACAACCGCAAATTGTAAATATTTTCGAGATTTTGCCACAGTTTGAAGAAAACTTTCAGTATTTTTCACGAAACTTATGAAATGGCTGTTATTTACTCTATACATTGTGTTAATAAGGTTTCCGTCATTTGAACATTTACTCCCACCTCTTAAATGCTTCACATCTTTTGATTATCGTCTCCGTGATTCTGAAAATAGATAAATCGTATCAGCTGTCATCCCTTTAAAATCTATTTACTCAAAAAGACATATAACAGCTTTATTCTATTTTTCACACAGGTAGCGTCCAGAGCTCTCGGGGTACCGATGGAAAACATTCATGTCAGTGAGACAGGAACAAATACATGTCCAAATACCACCTCAACAGCGGCCAGTGTATCATCAGATCTGAACGGAGCGGCCATTCTAGTTAGTTTCAAAGGAGTAACACAGCCGAATAAATTTATACGTTACCATATAAAAAACTTAAAAAGTAAATGTTATAATATCAGGTACCACAGGGTTATATTCGTGTACGTTAATTTAGATATGTATCGTATCAAAGAAGTTAAACTTTTCTCCGAGGTATTTTATTTATACTTCAAATATAAAATCATACTACATCAGACTACATATGATGATGCATTTCATAAAACTGAGAAAAAACCTAAATGACATTGTTTTCCATTTTGGCCTCTTAGGTTTCCAAACTTAGACCCTTAGTATCACTGACTTGTCGTATAATGACGAAAAAGTGTGCTGCAGTTTAATTAGGGTTTATTTGGTGAAAAGACCTATTGTTTTTGTTCGGTTTCTTATTATTAGGGCTTTTCACTAAATGGTGAAAAGACCTATTGTTTTTGTTCGGTTTCTTATTATTTAGGGTTTATTTGGTGAAAAGACCTATTGTTTATGTTATGTTTCTTATTATTATTAGGGCTTTTCACTAAGTGGTGAAAAGACCTATTGTTTTTGTTCTGTTTCTTATTATTCTTATTATTATTATTCCAATTTTGTGGGTTCGTAATCTTTTTAAATTGAAATATATAGATATACATTCTATTCACCTTTATGTAGATACGTATATGAACTTGTCGATGCCGAATTTTTAAGTAGGTCAAAAATCCAATATGGCCGCCATGACGTCATAAGTTAAAAACTTAAAAACGACGATATCTCCAAAATCGTTGATTATACAGAATTTGTGCAATTATATTATTTTTAGAGAATTTCCTTATCTAAATTTTTGTCATGACATGTTATCAGAGAATATGCCAAATAAAAAAGCTCGCTGTTGGGTGAAGTTTTCAAAATTTAACAAATTTTTAATTTTTTTTTTCAATTTTGAACTTTCTTGAAATTTTCTTCTTCGGATCGATGCAGAACATCCTTCCGATGAATTTAATGTTTTGTTTTTCGGTAGATTGTCGCCAAAGAAGTGAAAAGCCCGCAAAACTGTTAGCAACAATTTCTAGTTATTATTATTATTATTATTTTTCTTCCGAACTTTGTGGGTTCGTAATCTTTTAAACGGTAAAGATCACACCTAATATGTATTGACTATGTTATAGGTACATACTGGAAGGTGACAATGCAGATTTTTTAAGTAGGTCAAAAATCCAATATGGCCGCTATGACGTCATAAGTTAAAAACTTTAAAACGGCCGTAACTCGAGAACCGTTGAGTGTACAGAGTTCGTCCAATTATGTTATTTGTAGACAATTGCCTTATCTAACTTTTCCCAATGCCATTATACTACAAAATATGTCTAATAAAAAAGCTCGCTGTGGGGTCAATATTTGAAAATTTGAAAACAAATTTTTTTTTTTCAATTTTGATTTTTCTTAAAAATTTCTTTAACACATCGATGTAGAATGTCCTTCCGATGAATTTAATGATTTTAGTTTTTCTGTAACGTTTACCACTTCCGTTGTATGCCATTTTTAAAATTTCCTTTGATCTTTTAAAAATGCCGACATTTTGGAAAAACTCGATCTAGATCTTTACCAACGGTCTTTTTTTGGAATAATTTATATCAGAAAGGTTTCCCCAGATGTCCTCTACCATTTAGTGTCATTTACAAAATCATCAGAAAAACAAAATGGCCGCCATGACGTCATATCCGATTTTACCTCAATTGCTGTAACTCAATAACGGCTCAAGCTATTGACTTAAGCTTAAAGCAGTTTATAAACATAACCCTGCAAACATATTTTGTCAGAAAAAAATTTAGATAAATGGTGAACTTCCGGTTTCTGGTAGGGGTCAAAGTTGAAAACTGCGATTTCGGGTTACAAACTTTGACAAACTTCTTCTCAAGTTCTGCAAAGCCTTGAGTCTTGATATTTCATGTGTAATATGCCTGATCAATTATCTATCTGGTTTGTTAATATAAATGACCTTGACCCACTTTCAAGGTCACAGAGGTCAATTAAGTAAAAATCGTTAAATGACAGTTTCTCACTTTCTATAAGGCACACAATGATGAAAATTGATTATAAACCTTCTGTAGACACTTCCTATTGATTGTCATAAGAAAAACTTCCTTAAAAGTTCAACTTCCGGTTTTCGGTAAGGCACAAACTGGGAAATAGCTATTTAGGGTACCAATCTTTGAAAAACTTCTTCTCAAGTTCTGGAAGGCCTAGATGCTTGATATTTCATATACAGGAAGGATATGTAACCGACAACAAAGTTTGATAATATAAATTACCTTGACCCACTTTCAAGGTCACAGATGTCAATTAACTAAAAATCGTTAAATGAAAGTTTCTCAATTTCTAGAAGGCATACAATGATGAAAATTGATTATAAACCTTCTGTGGAGACTTCCTAGTGATTGTCATAAGGAAAACTTCCCTCAAAATGTCAACTTCCGGTTTCTTAATGGGGTCAAAGTTCAAATATACAAAATAGGGTACCAGTGTTCAACAATCTTCTCACAAGGTCTAGAGAACTAATATTGGTGATATATTGATCATCAGATTTTACATTATAAGGCTTGCAAATATGAATAACATTGACTGACATTCAAGGTCACAGGGATCAAATATGTTTGAACCTTTAAAAAGTGTATTTCTTCGTTATTATGTAGTTATATCTCCTTAACGTTTCAAGATTCAAAGTTCATCTTTGGATATGTTGTAGAGACTTACAAACAAGGAACCTTTCTCATATATCGTTATCAGGATAAATGTCAACTTCCGGTCAACTTGTTGCCAAAGAAGTGAAAAGCCCGTCAAATTGTTAACAACAATTTCTAGTTCATTATATAACTCTTAATGGATATCATTCTAAATTTCTATTGAAATGTGCTTTTCTATTGTGTCTTTTGTACAATATTTGCATTTGATTAACTTCCAGGGGTGTTTGCAATCAGCATCATCATAAAGTCCGATGTTCGCATCACCACAGCGTTATTTCAGTTTGATCATGAAGAATATCGATCAAGTTTACTTGGTGCATGTTGAAATTTTTATAATTATTTTAATTCTTTGACATTTATACATAGAAAAGTAAACATTGTATTATGTTGGGTTGCATAAATAATAGCATATTAATATAAGATGTTATAGAATTATAGAAAGAAAATTGATGTTTACACTAAAAGATATTGCGATATGAGGCTGGATGTGTTTGATGCTCGTTAGTTTGTCTGTCGGTTCCGTATTTGTATACTTTGTCGTCATTGAGAACATGACATTACTTACTTGGATTCACTATGGTTACATGGCGATGTCTTCGATGAAGCAAAAGAGGCTTACCATTCTAGAACCCCTGGTCGTATCCTCTTTGTACTTTTACAGGAATCTCCGTATAAATCTTTCTTGTGTTCATATATTAAACTAGTTATATTACATTTTATACAAAATGATTCAACTGTTCAACAGGATGCATGTAATAAGATTATGGATAGGTTGCGACCATACAAACAGAAGATCCCGAAAGGACAATGGAAGGATTGGGTATGTATATATCTAACGCGTTCTCAAACTCTGGTACAACTACGACAGGTAATTCTAATCTGATCGACAAAATGACTGCATATGATGCATTGTTTTAATTTGTTGATATCGTGGACATAATAACACAATTGAAGATGGGAAGGCCATTGTTGACAAGTTTTGCCAAGGAATTCTAGCTTTCTTAGGAGTTTAAGTCTCGCCTTTGTAGCCCGTTATTCAATAGGTCAAAACTAAATGTTGTTCGTTGCAACGGTAATGTATGCTTTAACCCCTTAACTCCCAAATATGCATTTCTTCGCATTCTGAGGTTGGTGTTGGGAAAACTGTCCTTATTGGTGGCCATGTTAGTCTACTGAATGAGAAAACTAGAGAAAATTTCTGAACAACTTTTGTCTAAAGAATTTTTTGTTTTAAATAAAAAAAATATGTCTTACGTTTTTCGCGAGTTGACAAAAAACACGGCATATTATACCTGTGCGATTACGATCATAGTGCAACTATCAGACGTTGTTATTATACGCTGTGTAAACAGTCGTTTTACCAGAAATATATCATTTTACTCGCTTGAGATAGATAACGGTAATAAAAGATATCCAAATAACGATAGGTGAAAAAAAGACCTAATCATCGACGGCAAAGGTTATTTATAGTCCTCGGGTATTTCTAAGTGATCACTAACAAGCACGTGTTTTACGGGACCTGACTTAATCTGTTGAGATAATTCGTCACTACAGTAAGATATTCTACCAGTTGAATGCATATCACAAGTAATCACATGTGATATATCAGCAAAATAATGACATGTCACATGCAAGGAGATAGAATTCACGCGTGTTGTGTCTGAACATGAACTAAAGGTCAGGAATGCGATCTGTCAATATTTGCAAACGATAAAGTGATGAGGTAAACCTATCTGCCTCCAGGAAATAAACAAGACGTTCATCTTGTCACCAAACCATATCATAGGTAAGCATTATATGAAAACAAAAATGTATTCATTGTTCAAAGTGACACATCCCTGACGAAATACATGTACTTATTTTCTTCTATATTTTCCACTGTCAAATCTACTGTAATTTTCTATCTGATTACGCCTTATTACATATCAATTGTCTGAGAATACTGTATATTTGTCGGCAAAAAGCACGTTCTGTATTCATTTTCTCTGAATTAATCTCTTTTTCTCATTTGCTTTAGAGGGACTCAATATAATCTAAATAATTTATCAAATTTACTTTATTGTATGGAGAGGACAAAATTATAAGAATCAGTTCCTACCGGTCTTTATCAGAAAGAACAGGGATGATATCATGATACCTTTACATAATAAAGGAGTTGAAACATATAAATGCAAAACCCTGGAAAATGTGGCTCCTGCCTTATTCAGATCCCGGGTGATACCTTCCTTGATGTTTGGTTCTTGTATCATTTCTTTCTTACATTCAGGCAAAACTAATTTACAACTTGTTTGTTTTAGTTGCTAGTTTATTTAGAGAAAATAAGAGCTGAATTAGACAGGGCAGGTGGTAAAAAATATGGATTCTGGTCATGAAGATAATTAGGAACAATATGTAGAATATTTTGTAGAAAAAATAGGTAACAATAAAAAAAGTAATTGTTGTATTGTATCTTTGTTCGCTGTTTGAGGTTTGGGTCTGTGAGCCTTACACATTATATTTTGAATGTCAAGATCCATCAACCCCTATAATCTGGAAACCTCTAGAATTTGGAGAGTAATTTGATAAATGTAGCATTACAATAAAAGAGAGATACTCTCAACCCTAACTCACTAACTTTTGTTTTGTATAATGTGTACATATAAATTTAAATTGTCTGAATTGCTATCCATATAGGAACTGACTAATAATACATTTGATGATTATGATATCAATTTGCCTAAATAAAATATGTCAATAAATGTGTTAGTTCATATATCACTGATGTGATACAGCTTGTGACATGAACGTTATATTTCTAATATTTATTCAAACCTTCTTCTATTTTGTAATGAAGTATTAATTGAGATGTTCATAAGTGTACAAAAGGATGTGTATATCAACATTTGTTCTAATTGCTTACTTCAGGTATCAACAAAGGACTGCAGTAGCATGGACAAATTGCGATGATACTGGAACAACCAAGCTAAGCAAGTGCCATCAGAGCCAGCAAATTCTTCGCTTATTTGTATACTGGATTAAAATTATATAAAATTAAAATGATTCCATCATGTGTTGTTGTTTTTAACTTCAAGTAAGTGCTACAGCTTCAATCTGGTACAAATAACTAGTTTTCAATACATCATCATGGTTTTAGCCATGATATCATTTCTCTAAGAAACATAATGTACAGATATATGTTACCATTCGATAAGATACTTACTACAACAAGCACATGATTAGTATTATTGTGTCTAATTTTGTGTTCCATGTTTAAAAATGTTTTACCAGTGTCTGTTATATCCCTCTATATTTTTACACAGAAGATGAAACCCCGCAAGTGGAATGTGGAAATGTCTAGACATTCAAACAACCAACAAAGTTATTGGGCATCATGACAACTAAAACACATATAGAATAAATAGATGAAATATTAATCTTATATTTCTACTACATGTGGTTGATCCGATGAGCAATATGATCACTGTCTACATAATTATTCGAAAAAATACAAGTGCAGCTATAATCATTAAAAGAGAGATAATTAAAAACTGGAAGAAAAACCTTAAATCAAAACTTCTGGATTTTTCTCAAACTGAATTATCTACCCTGACATCTGAAAATAAATATTCAATAACGTTTGAAGTTAGAACACTTCTTCAATACACTAAAACTTACAAAATGTGTATAAAATAACGTTTCTTTCAATGCTTGATGAGTTAAATTGATAAAAACAAATTACGTTTTTTCAAAATATTCAAATTTTGGTTACCATGGTAACTTTAAAAGGAAACAAAGGGGCAAAAAGCTATGAAATTTTAACAAAGAGGTTTATTTCATATCATTGTTATAAAACGAGCCGGTGACAATGGCAGCAACCGTTAATGAGTAATTTCTGTCATATACATATACTTAGGTACCTACTCCAGTAGTTCACAATAATATAAAGTTGGAAAATTTGCTAATGATAGGAAAATATATATTTTCTGAACCATTGTTAGTTTTCATAGAGCAATTTAGTTTGAAATGCGAATGTATAGTTAGAAATATGCATGTGCATTGTTCATAGGTTACGATGAAGTAGGCGAGTAGATATTAACTTAAACATATTCAGCAGTGTTTGTTGATCAACAGATAATGTTACATGTAGTTAATTATCTTACTACTAGTGCACAAGACAGGATAGATATGCATATATATCAATGTTTGGCTTCCAAGGGTATAACGGGCATGACATGGTTACAAATATGACACAGGTTGTATAAATGTAGGTGCAATATATACATTCGCTATGTAAAGCTGACAGAAGGTTTAGATACAATGTTGTTTTTGACATCGAATGCAATACTTTTACAGGTCAATGCTGCTTACATGGACAGAGTGGGTTTATCTGCTACTGGCATAGGAAGGTATGAACTGTAGTTATAACGGGAATCACCTGGGTATAGGAATTTAGTTGCACCATATAACATTTTTGTTCTTCAAGGGCATGTCGGCGATGGTAAATCCTAAAGTGTATAAATATAGAACACGCGTGACTGAAGAACGAAGGCAAGTGTTGAAAAAACATATTGTGTTCAATTGATGTTAACAATTGCAATGTCTAAGTACCTACTATGGTAATGTTTTATGGCTATTGTTTTGATGTACAAAGGTCTGGCAACCAGCACTGGGACTTTGAAAAGGGCGTTGGTAACCCTTCGCACTACTACACGTACGGGACGGCCTGTACTGAAGTGGAGATCGACTGTTTAACAGGAGAACACCAGGTACACACGGACCCAAATGTCTAATGTAACCATGCGTTTATCATTAAAAAAAGTGGTGTGATTGTGTTTCAAAGTCGAAACAGCGAAGTGAAATATTTAAAAAATGTAACGGGGACCATTAAATATGTCCACAAACTAACCCTGGAAATCTGGCAATACTCAAATTTCGAACAATAAGAAAACTGGGTTTGGCGGTCAAATGGAAATGAGATTATGATCGTGACAAAATAAATTCCCCGCATCCTTCGTGTACTATACCTATATATATCGTCCTCCAGAGTTGTCACAGCCTTGGTAACACCACATCGTGCGATTCTACAAAACAACCAACTTTCTAACTTATTAAAGAATGCATGTTAATAGATTTTTCAACAAGTTCTTTTTTTAATGTTATCACAAAGACAAAGAGTGAATAAAAGCGAACACTTTTTTTCATGCATATTCGAACGTACAAGCAGCATGAGACTATAAATGTTAAAATTTGTTCATTAAGTATTCATGAATACGTGCTTTTATTATTATTGAAACTATTCCTTTTCGGAAACATTTGCATCGAATTATACAAGAAACCAATAAAGGTATGTAAAACGATAAGTATGTTTCTTACAGGTGCTAGACACAGAAATCGTCATTGATATAGGTAACAGTTTGAACCCAAGTATTGACGTCGGGCAGATTGAAGGCGGATTTGTACAGGTAAATGTATAAGTTGTCTGATTTGATCTAATTTGGGTTCATTTGAAGGGACTTCCGTCACATAACATAATTTATGGATATCTGTAATTCTAATGAACCTATTAAAATAAGCAGGAATATTCCTAGCCAAACCGATTAAATACAGCGCATAAGGAAATCCGGAAATGAACAATCACTGGATTATAGCTTTTATTCAGAGTATTGGGTAACTTCACAATTGTGTATGTTGTTCCCTAAAATTCTGATAGGGTAACTTCATAATTGTGTATGCTGTTCCCTAAAATTTTGATAGGGTAACTTCACAATTGTGTATGCTGTTCCCTAAAATTCTGATAGGGTAACTTCACAATTGTGTATGCTGTTCCCTAAAATTGTGATTGGGTAACTTCACAATTGTGTATGCTGTTCCCTAAAATTGTGATTGGGTAACTTCACAATTGTGTATGTTGTTCCCTAAAATTCTGATAGGGTAACTTCACAATTGTGTATGCTGTTCCCTAAAATTGTGATTGGGTAACTTCACAATTGCGTATGCTGTTCCCTAAAATTGTGATTGGGTAACAATAAATGTACTATACTTCATCAGCCTTATGTTCTGTTGATTTTATAATCAGCACAAATATTTCATTCTGTTCGGCTTATAACAACGCAAACCAACTATGACGTAAATAGGGCCGCGTGAGCATTTGTAAATTGATCTAGCTAGCTCTGTATAGAATTTCCGTACATTAAATATCATTTGTTTGTTTAAATGGTAAATTGAGGTGTATGATTTCCAATAGAACATAAGTAGACGATTTCGTATATATTTTTTTTCAAAAGCACCCTATGAAATCCTGACTTGCGCCAAATATCCCATTAACATAGATTTACCGGAACTGATAATGATGGCATGGTGAATAAACAGGGGATTGAATAATAGAAATGTTAAGGACAGGGTACAGAAGGAATAACATCAAACAGGAAAATATGACAGATTAGTTGAAGTTCCCGTAATAGTCATAGGAACAGCTTGAAAGTGTCTTAGGTGTCTCGTGTATGAATGATGTTATTGCCATTTTTGCATGCTTTGGACATTTAGGAAGCGTTGTTATGGTAATCTTAATTTGATATATAGATATCAATATACATTCATTTACTCATTCAAAATTGTGATAACTGGTTCAATCTAAACTGATTAGACTGAGACATGAGCTGGTTATGTTGTTGTCTTCAGGGATATGGATGGGTAACAATGGAAGAATTAAAATTCTCGTCTAAAGGTGAAACCCTTGCATACGGTCCGGTCGATTACAAACTTCCAGGTGTTCGGAACATTCCTCGTCGCATGAAAGTTTCCATTCTCAAAGATTGTCCCAACATGGGTACCGTGTATTCCTCAAAGGTGAAACACTTTTTTAAAGATCATTTGTCCAGCTTTTCATCTAGCAAGTTATAACCACGTGGTTAAAATTAATCATTTTTTATTCACGATTATTTAGAGCGTTGATTGATTATTGATGAAGTGTATGTTTACAAATCTGATCAAATTTATTGTCATTGATATACATAAAATACAGTTAGTACTTCTTGTTACAGGGTGTAGGCGAGCCTCCTCTTCTTCTGGCGATATCAGTTTATTTGGCATTGCGAAAAGCAATCCAAGCTTGTAGGGCGGATGCAGGACTTTCAGCTAATTTTGATCTTGATATTCCTTTAACTGCCGAAAACATCCGAATGGCTTGTCCAGTTAAACTTCCAACCGGCAAAGCTGCTTCGTAAACACCCGAAAGTGCAAACGTCCGTGTCATGCTCTTTAGATTTTGGCATTAGATTAAACATTCATTGTGATGCAAAATTGTAAATGTATTCTTATCCTTAATGATGAAATCGATGTAACGGAACCAAAATCGATAACAGTAAATGTTCAGTTAAGAATGTGAGTAATATGTAATTGTGACAAAATTGTGCATTGTTTAAAGACAATACATCTGACATCACATACCATGGGATTGCTGCTTCATGTTGTACGGTGGAATCATTAAACTCATCGTTGTAATTCTTAATCTGGTACATACAATATGAATTTCCAGTCTTTAAATTTCAACCATTTGTTCACAAAAATAGAAGTCAAAAGAATTGAACATTAGGTTTAGTCTATGTCCTCTCTTATACAGACACATAATATATTGAGATATTGATTTGATATATCGAGATAAGGGGAAGTAACTCTTAAGTGTATATGTAAACAGATATTCAATATAGATAAGAAAAGGTACCCCTTTAACAAAGCATATTTAATTTTACATACTTGCTGATACCGCTATTTTGTGTGAATGATTCAAAATACTGGACACTGTATCAAAGATATTCATATATTATAGTTACAAAGATATTGTGGAAATTTGAGGATTCCAGATTCAACACCTAAACAGATACCGGCTACACTGCCCATTATATAACATACTAGCCATACACTGCTGAGGATCGAAAGTCAATTTAAACAGATAGATAATCAATTATATCTTTACGAAATGTAACTTAAAATAACCGATATTATTTAGTATGCATATAGCAGGTTACTGGTACTTGACAAAAGTAGAACAAAGTATTTTCTTAAACTATAGAATTTGTTCCCCACACAAATCAACAATTTAATTTAAAGGTACAGATCCTTATTCCGTTCCGTTATTCTCCGCATAGGATCTGACAACATCCCATACGGGGTTATGTTCTGTTGAACTTTGTATCAACCAATCAAATGATCGTTTATCGAAATTTGAAAGTGAATGCAGGTGAGCGAATTATTTTGCAATATCCTACTTGTACGTCACGTTGTTTTGTCACAATATGTCGACAAAATCTGGAAGCATATCTATATAGATTTAAATGCTGAATATTTTCCTAACTCCTACACAAAGTAAAACGGAGCGAGAATTCAGATCTGAATTTCAAAAAGACAGACCTACGTAACCCATTATAGGATGTTGTCAAATCCTAGTGCTCTAAATAATTTCAATAATGAGAGGTGTTGTTACTTCACGCACTTTTGTTCTTACGCAAATTTTACCTGATTGGAGTTGTGTTTCGAGATAATAGCATGTTTGACATCAATGTACATTTTATGTCAATGAATAAACATCAAGATATCCCGTTTTTGTTCAGTACATCTTTATTTATATATGACATACATGTAGGAATACCATATACTGGTATATTAGTAACATCCCGACGGTCTTTTTTATACAGTAAACTTATTTTGGAACAATTAAATTATATTGATTTTATGCATAAATGGTTCATTCATTACACCGACTAATTAAACAACACGACTTGATGATGTAATGATAATTTTTGTTTGGTTTATATCTCCGTGAACAGTCACGGTCGGTGTTAGGAGGTTAATATCTTGCCGTTCCTCACTAAACGAAATACGGGACAGCTGACCCATGTCATCCAGGTCAATTAGGGCAACCTACTACAGAACACATCCTTGACAGCACTAGCTTTCATAGATACATAAACCGAATGGGACGAGAACTTTAAACCACGCACTTCGGATTCAACCAAGATTATCTATGTCAACCCTATAGCGGCCTCTATTATGTATCGAACGAACATGTTGTTTGATACAATAAATTATGGTGTTGGTTTTGTTTCAAAGTAAAATAGTTCGTGTAAAAGAAACTGAGTGACATATTCGTCCTGAAATTTTGCCACCTATTCATCAAATATCGGTTCATAAAATAAATAATATTTCGCTAGAAAATAGTGTTGTCTGCAACAAATTACGGATATCAAAGTAAATATAAACTTGAGTGTATATATAGCTAATGATACAAAGCATATTCTGCAATCATACTTTTACGTCGTTGAATTACAAATACTGGCGATTTTCTGAAAACTTAATTTTATCCTGATCCAGCCATGCAATATCAATCATAAGGTATATTTCATTTCTAGGTCAATTTCAGCCATCTTTTCCTTAATTACCGCATCATACATCTCGTTCTGTGCCACAGTTAGCCTGTTTTTCCAGTCACCAACGTCACCTTCAATGATAAAACAGGAAATGCCATCATCCATATAAAAATGTGAATAAATTTGAGATGTTCTGATTTCACAGACCACAAAAGTTGCTAAGGCAACCACAGATAAAACACTGACATGTAGCCAGACTCTTAGTTCAATTACCAATTCGATAAAACTAAGGCAAACTATAGACAATACAGAGATTAACTCACAGATTCCTGAAAAAGATGAGAGGCGAATAAGATGAAAGATTCGGTAAAGTCTTTACTAAACGACTTCATATCAGTTATTGACCTTAAATTCTTCATAAAAATCTAAATTACTGGACGAATGTTATTTTCATGTGGTTTACTGTTGAGGATGTATGGAAAATCACAAATGTACTCTGAAAATAAAAGTGGAAATCATAGGACTTTCAATTAATTGTGAAACAAACATTAATGCTTGTGGTAAACATACAGATAATTAGTATAAATATACATATATTTCAACTGTTTCCTTACATGACAAAGTGTAGCAGTTTTTGGACGGAATTACCTTTTCTATAAAAAGGATTGGTGCCATCTCTGCTTATTTGGGACTCTTCGTTATTTGAATTCTTTGCTTTCGACATCACGTTAAACTGACATTTACTCGTCACTTCGTCAAGGAATTCCGGGTCTTGTTTCGCTCCTATGTGTTGTGCCATCATTTGAACACAGCTTCTAAGGTCCTGTAATACATAAATATCCTTTTAAACTTCCCGATCCTTAGAACAGTTTATAAATGTAAAACAAATCAATGTTTCTAGACTTTGGTAGAGCAGACAGACGAGAATACTTTTTTTATTCAATTACCAATTTCAGCAATAAGTTTATTGTAAGGGACAAACAGTTCCAGCTTGTGAAACCGTTAGCTTTAAAGGAATCATAAGTATTTAATCAAGTGCTTACAAATTGATAGAGTATGATATCAATTGTTTATTGATCGCAATAATCGACCTTATACTCGGTATAAACCAAAAGAAATAGTCTTGGTAAATATAGACAAAATCACGATACAGACGAATACCTTTTTCATGTCCTCGTACGACATCATCAAGATAGGTAAGTCCGGGTTTTTCTTTTTGAAATCCAACCATGACTGAACGTGCTCGAACCAGGTATTGTAATGTACTAAAATAAAAATGATCCAAATGATATATAGGCGCCCACGACCCAACATTTGTCACAGAAAAAACGATAATGCCTTTTTGTTGTATTTTCATTTAGACAAACTAGAATTTTCTTTTTGGTTATTGGGTGGGGTGGGTTTTTAGAATAAAGAAAGTACCGTCAAGTCAACAGAATCCAATTCGAGAAACCAATGGCAAATTATGAATAAATGTAAGATTGACACTGGTGTTCCCGGAGGGTAACTGTCTTCTCCTTCATCAACGAAACATGCCATGTAAATCTTAGTCGATTCCAGTATATGTAACACGTTCCCATATAATAACACACGGTAAACAACCGCACTACCAGACACACGAACGACAATCAGACACTTTCAGCTTCATATTACACATGGAATAGAATTTTTCCGAGTGAGATCATTGAAACGACCACAAAATATCAGGTATTCTTCATCAATCTGCGTCTTTTCCTGTAAGTTTCGTTGCAGGAAAAGATCGACGTAAGTGGCAATTACATAAGAGTTTGTCGTGTCTTTTATCTGTTTTGGTTGGTATATATGAGTGATATGATATATCTCCGGTTTTTTAAAGAACAGATACCATCAATAAAAAAAGTGAAATTGAAGGACTTTGCAAGGTCTTTGGTACCTATTTTCATACCTGATTTATCGTAAGAATCATGAAACTCAGCCAAAACAAGACTGTGATCGGTTACTAAACAGGTTATGATAGAAACTGCATAAAAATGTTACTTAAATAGTTTGCAAGAGAACAGTTTAAATGATAAAAGGCAAAAAACATCATACAACCACTGACCATTATAAATCAATTAGTGGCTGTTTCATTGAAAAAACATATGGAAGATGAATTGCATGTTATCAAATGCCATTGCTGTAAAGTGTCTGGCTTGAGGTCACAACAACGACAGTACAGGACTGACCCAAACATCTGTTTCCTGAGGGCCATTACTAGAGCTGTGGCTGCAAGTCATCCATACACATACATAGACAAATAGGACCAACTGTAACTTCTGAAGATTATTTTACTATTTATACAAATAAAACTTTAAATCGCATTTTAAGATATTTATTATAGGTATATAATTTGCATGGTATTATGGACTAATTAACTTACATTGCTGTGTCGCATATAATTCGAAGAAGTTCTCCCATTTGCCGTTATAGTTTTTGAATACCTCCATGTTCAGTCGCCTCAAGAAAGAATGCATGGATACCGCTGTATCTTTCGGATTACGATAGATGTAAATAACCTTACATTTTCCGTCTTTCACGAACTTCGGAATGTGTTGCGGATACAAATGTGTCGTCAGAATCCTAGGACTGTTTAACGCGTCAATCTTTTCGATTGGTTCAAAGTCCAAAGCCAGAATCATGCCAGTACTGTACTCTGCTTTTCCATTTTGCAACATATACAAAATGTCGAAGGTCCAGTGAGTCCCTGAAAATAAACACGAAGTAAGTACGTCTGTGATCTGAAAACAATCGTGGACTCTTAAATGTTTTAATAACTGTTTCAATGTAAGAAAGACAGGATCTTGTTTCGTGTTTCATCACTAGATTTCATTTAAATGAAAAAACTTGAGTCACGTTACATTGTAGACAAACAACAAAAACAAGAAAAACATGCAATACATTTTTTTCTCATTTTTGTCAATGCATCAAAACATGACAAACAAATTAAAACTCCATTGTCTAATAAATATCTATTTCAGCTTTTGTTAACTTTAACAGAATACCGATATTATCATTGCAAACTCATTATTCAAACTCAATGTAAACAGGTTCAATGGAACAAAATATAAAGGAAAGATTTATGAATAGACCGTAAAATCGAATAATAAATCCGTGTCTCCGGAAGGATAACCGTCTTTTGCTTTACCAACGACACCTGTTGATCCAGGTCAATCAAAGTAATACGCAATCATTTCATTAAGCAATGTGCTTCTGCTGACGATACCATTTTGATAAAAAAAAAGTGTCTTATGTAGTTCGGCAATTGGGTTGAAATACCAAACGAAGAGAGAAAATGTAACCCATTTTACACATCAATTCCAGAAGATCGTTTATTACGTATCCATCACTTTTCTATTAACTTTAATAAGCATTGTATATGCACAGCAAACTAGGTTATGTGTTTAAGTCTGTTTACAGTAGGATGGGAGTGTTAGATCAGAGTAATGCACTTGCAAGATTTTTAAAAACAGTTTGTTTACACGTTACAAACCCAGCCATCAATAACTTTGGTTGTTAGTGAAAATTGTTGGGCAGGTTTAGCTACGATTTTCTGTGATTTTCAAGCATATTTAGATTAGCAAAGAAGTCTATCTTCTATCCTTCGATATTTTTACAGTAACTAACCAACTGATGATAGATGATATATTACATACGACGGAAGTCCGTCTACTGCAATGTAAACAAAAGGTAAATCGTGAATATATACCAAAACTCCATCGGACTGAAAAATACGCAATCCATCCACCAATGTAATCAAATTAATCAAAGGTTCTTTCCAGCAAAAGGAAGAACAGTCATTTCCCAAATTAAGAATAAAACGAAAATGTCTGTTGAAAGAAAGTATGCTCCCTTTCGACTTTTTCGTATTTGTTCTTGGTTGAAAGACCTACAATATTGTTAGAATCACAACATATCCTAAACGTACACCTGACCGGTCTGTCTACCTACCAGATTTTGGGAAACTGTCGAGCAGTAAATCGCCCTCCATATCTTTCAGGTTCCTTACTGACTCTAAATGGTCTTTCACATTTCCGGGAACGTTTGCTGGAAACTTTATCCCATCATAATATTTACTGAGTATCGCTTCCCCTTCTCTGTCCTCATCCTTGTGGATCTCCATGGCTACTCTTTTTGTTAATGGTTTAAGTTACTTAAATGTTTGATGAGCTCTGTAAAAAATATTTGACAATGAATACAAATATTGCTAAATTCCTCGTCAGCGAATCAACTCACTTCACCAGGTAGAGGGGTTGTCACCCTGTTCATATTTTATTATTTTATTTCTGCATTTCAGTAAACAAAGCGTATGTTATGCAAGAAGATCTGCGAACAGAAATCTGACATAATTTGGCGTTGTCTTTACTTATTCAAAGTATACATGCAGCATTATTGGTGTGCTGTTTACTTATATACAACCACAATCTCTTATATGCATTAGATATAAACTGATTACCTACAAAAATACCCATGATTATAGATATACTTATAAACATGGTATCTTAAGTAACATAGTTAAATACATCTTATCCTACCTTCTTCGTTTGGACACAAATATCTCATAGTAAATATCTGTAGTAATTTTTCATTTGGTTAAAAATTGCATGGTTGTCTTAGCTACAGCACGCGCAAACTAGACATACAAGTTGAAACGAAGCACATCATTACACAATAATATGTTAACTAAAAGCTTTCGAGAGCATATAAAATACGAAAGTAGGTTATACTTTATTGGCAAAGATTACAGTAATTAGGTTAACTTTACATTAAATAAACCATATTTACCTACCACTATAAACGTATCTTGTATCTATGTCTTCCGTGTAGATGGTCTGTGTTCCTAGGTCTAATTATAGGTCCTAGATAATGACATCTTTCACAGAACTGAGAGTCAGAGATACACAACCGTGTGTGGTTCGTGGTTCATGTCCGCTCATATAACATCACCTGGCCAAGCTACTGTAGTATGCTGATCAGTATCGTAGTGAACAAATACTACCTTCTCCATAACTACCCGAGTGTTCGACTATACGAATAACTTTGAATACCTGTCCAGATACATGTGACCTTTTGACGTCTAATAGGTGGAATAATCCAACTGTGCAATGAAAACATGGAAAACATGACACGATTATTATTATCATTTTTATGTAATTATATTTCTATTTAATATAATAAAATACATCAGACAAAAATGTGTTTCATCTGGTTCTTTCATCACGTATGCCATGTAGAATACTTTTATGTATGAATATATTTGTATTCTAATTAAATATTAAACAATGTCTATCTGTCCTGATTATGCTCCATCACCATCTGGTTCTGTCGTCTGCTTTATAAATAGTATCTATCAAGAGAACAGGCAACGAAGATAAGTTTCCAAAGGACAAAGGTTTGTAAAAAATGAAACTATAAAGTATACGAAAGAGCATATTCTGCACGAAAAAGTAGATTATTTCCCAAAGAAATAATGATACCGACCTGGAAGCAAACCCTTACTCTTCATCAACCTATACAGGGAAAGCCGGACACTATCCAGAAAATTCACCATGAGGAAGTCGAATTCATCAGCTTATAATACAGCTTGGAATGTCATGACCTAGCTAAGGAACATGTATCATGACAACCAATCTGGTAATATCACAGTGCTAACCAGTCCTAACAGTCACATATATAACACTAATAAGAGGGGCCTTAATGGCTATCTGACTATAAAGATCTATATATGAAAGAGGGCAAATAGGCCTAAGATAAATTGCTCAACTACACTACAGCTAATATAGAAGACATTGTTGGTTCATCAAAACATTATCTGAAAAGTTAAAATCATATTCTTTATACATGCACTACACAAATGTCATTACCCGGAACATATTGCTGGTTGAAAAAGCATGATACAGACCCATTTTCAAGACGCTTGAAGGTTGGTGAAATATCAGTACACTTGTCCTTTTAGGTATTGAGAAAAAGTTGTTTAAACATTTTAACACATTTGATACCTGTGACCTTGAAAGTGGGTCACCGGCATTCATATGAACAAAGTTGGTAGCCCTACATCCTAGCATGCTTCAAGCCTAATATCATCATTCTTGGCAATTTGGTTATTGAAAAGAAATCACTTAAGATTTTAATGTATGTGATCCCTCTGAGCTTTCAAGTAGATCGATGCCATTCCTATTAACTGAGGGTCAAATCAACTCTCTGAATTTAAGAAATGATTCCCAATCTCCATGATGATTTAGACTAAATGTTGTTGAAATCCATACATGCATTAAAAAAGAGAAGCATTTTGAAGCAAAATCTGTCTAACTTTCCCCATTTGGAGCCTTGTCCCCAAGTGCCTAGGTGCTGAATCAACTTTCTGAATTCAAGCTGTGATTTTCAAATCTCGATAATATATCACACTAAAATTGGTTGAAATTCATTAAAGCATTTAGAAAGATGGGCATTTTGAAGCAACATATTGACTAACTTTCCCAAGGGGCTGAATCAACCTTATGAATTCAAGAAATGATTTCCCACTCTTAATGATGTTACAGATCAAATTTGACTGAAATCCATTCAAGCATTAAAAATTAGTAGCATGTTGAAACAAAATATAGTCTTATTTTCCGTTCCTCAAGTCCCAAGGGGTCGAATCAACTTTCTGAATTAAAGAAATATTAGACTACCCTAACTAATGAATCAGTAGGAGTAGGGTTTTAAATCTAATCTCAGCCCCTCCCCTTTTGGGGCCCCATCCCTCGCCCCTATGGATGGAATCACTATTCTTAATTTCAGAAATGATTAACCTCACCCAATGATAAATCAGACTAGATTTTAATGAAATCAATCAAGGTATGAAAGTGGAGTAGGGTTTACGCACGACACATGACGACGAACGAAGCGCGGTGGCTATTGATCATCTTGACCCCTGGGTCAGATGACTTAAAAAGTAGGTACTACTCGTTGAGACTTTGATGAGAACTAATAGAAAAAATACAGTCTTTCTTAGCAGTATTCAAAGATGATCTGTAACTCTATAACTCAAATTCAATAAAACTAGGGGAAAATATGAACAAAAAAATATTTACATGGAGACTTCCGAAAATATTGAAGCAAAATAAGATCAGGTTTTTTAAAAGGTAATCTCGACACAGCGTATATAAACTTTATTGATTTTACAACAATTGTGGAAAAAAACTATCAGCTTATATCAATCACTCTTGATGACCCAGACGGTTGCGCATGCAGGATCAAACTGTGGGAGGAAACCGGAGTACCCTGGGAAACCCACGTGGTCAAGCAGGTGACCTCATTCCTTTTCGTGTCAGTACTAGGAATTGAATCCCTGAAGGCTAGTGAAAGGCGAGTCCTTTACCATTGTGTCAACAAACCACCCGTTTTGTATGATGACGCACCGAGGATTGAAGGAAGATCAAGATTGTGGGGACATTATCCATTGTTATATCATTATTATGTATTCTATTGTTCTGCTTAAACTGAGATGTGATTGATGTTTGGTGTTTGTTGAGTTCATCTTTTTGAGAACGTGACAGGATTTAATTACATTCATCATTATTTAGTTGGTAGATCTGACATTCAATGATATCCTAGTAAATGTTGTTCGTGAAGTGTTATCTTTGTATATACACGATTATTCATTGTAACAAAATATCATTTCGAAAGTTTCAAGGTCTTTTTTTTTGGCAATGTAAAATGAAGTTACGGAGACTTTCTATTTTTGGATGTGACTGTATGGGAGTGTAGGTCTCGTCTGAGAGGTGCTATGGTTTGTCTTAATATAATATATAATTTATTCTCGGCCTTAATTACAATATTACGATTCATGCGATTTGTGTCAACAGCTGATGAGAAAATGTTTCTCAAGTGCGGAATAATGAAGTATATATGAATGTTTCATGGTTTAATGTTTTTGTTTGATAGTTTGCCATTTGTTCTAGTTATTGTAATCCTTGTGTTTACTTTTAGAATGTATCATTACTTTGACTATAGATGAACATGACTGTTGCAGCAAACCTCGGGGACTAGAAAATTCCAATGTTGTGTTTACCTCCTGCACTCTGAAGACAACTTTGTTAAAGCAATTCTACAAGGATTACGGGAAATATTTTCACAATGATTTCACGTAGATGATTTTAATTAATTAAAATCTATTTCAAAAGGGTGGCTGTATACAATATATATGATGTACATTACATACATGACATTCTGTATTTACCATAATTTTGTGTATTCAACGATATGAATTATACATGAAACAGCAGAAAGCTTCACAAGTATTTGGATGCCATGCCCTGCTATATACAAACTGAATGAGATGGTTAATTTGCTAAATATATATTAAAATACTTTAATTGTTTAATTGTACCTTAAGAGTTATTTCCCTTACCATGTTAATTCCGGATATTTCATTCCGTATCCTTTTTCATTTAATTAGAATTTACTTTTTCCGGATATTTGGTTTCTTATATTATGTATTTTTGGTCATAAAGAAGTTTGAAAAATATAGAAGTTTGAGAAGCTTTGTCTGTACTGCACAGTCCGTATGTATGAATAAATAAGTCTAGAGGGTTTACATGTAACGGTGGTCACTGTAGATAAAAAAGGTAAAATTGTCGAGGGAAATACTTTACAACATTACATCGCTTTGACACGTACAATTTAGTCATAAAATGTCTTTATCTTTCCATCAATGTATGGTCATATAACTTTTGCACTGTTGTAAACTTTTAAATTATTGTCAGAATGCATACCCTTACAGGCATCTGTAGTATTTGGTGTTTTTATTAAGAGTGGAATTCTGACTATCAATCCGCGACCGAGAAAAAATCAAATTTCGGAGAGAGTCAGAACACTTTGAAATACTGAAAATATATATATGGTTGGATGAGGTTAAAAAGTAAGGAAACAGATATATATGTGAAATATTTCTCTATACCAAATTCAATGGGAAAATTTCAATTCAAGAAAGATTTTTAAGAGACCCTGGAGAAAGTTCAAGAATAATAATAGACGTTCCAGAATGATCTACTTTATAGACTCCTAATGTGTAGACTTTAGCCGATTAAGTGATGTGATATTCTTAAATCAGAGCAAGGCTAACGACAGTGAAACCATCAGCCAAGCCAATGTACATCGTCATATCACCAGACGAAAACACAGAGCTAACATCTGTAACAGAGGTCATTTATCATCCAAATGCCTCCGCTAGGAATCAAACCAGGGACCCCTGGCTAACTAGTCTGACGCTCAACCAATCGAGCTAAAGAGAAGTTCTCACTAGCCAAGTGAAACCATCAGCCAAGCCAATGTACATCGACATATCACCAGACGAAAACACCGAGCACACATCAAATGTATCTTACTACATCGTACAAGGAAATATACTGTAACAATGTAGACGTGATGCTGAGGAGGTGAGAGAAGTTTGTCTGCTTTCAAGACCTTGGACCCCAGTTCTCAGTTTCTGTTTATCACTCTCTTAAAATATCAATAAAAAATAACACAAACTTAACTTTAATAGGAATAAACATAAATCATAGTAGAGTATCAATACATTCCTCTACACTGATAACTGCTTTCCTGAATACTGTTTTTATATCTGTTAGAGGTTGTTATCACCTGATTGATAAATTAGTACAATATCATACATAACATGAAACACTGTAAAGGCTGATTTTTTTGAGGGATCAAATTATCGAGAATCTTTTCCCTAAAGAAATTTTACACGAGACAGACAACGGTTTGCATGATTTGTTCTTATTTTCATCCAATCCTCAAAAAATAGCAACAATAAAGAAATGGAAGAAAATCCAGTATTTTTTCATTATAGATACAAGACTATCTTGCTGACAAAATGTTTTCAGCTATTACTGCCTACTTATTGGAAAGTTTTCATGTATAGATGGTCCAGTTCTGGTATAACTTTTGAGGACAGGTTGAGTCATGCAGTAACCATTAAATGCACTCAAGTCCTTGTTAGCTTCTCACACATAGGTCTTTTTCTGTGTACTGAATATTATCCATATCTACATGTACTACCGACTCCATAATTGGTTTATTTTTCTGCAGAGTCGTGAAGATACAATCAGAAGTCCGACTGAAGAGCTCAGGCCCAGCGCTTGCTCAGTTCCTGGTTGAACTGCCTGAAAATGACAAAGATAGAACTACATTATAATAAATTGTGTCGATTTTTTCTGTCCTGACTAAATGCTACACGTACCATGTGTCATTGGCCCACAGTAACAAATCAGTTATTGAATAACTACACAAAAACACTAAGGTTCAGGAAAAGGAAAAACCAAAGGTATCTATAGTTTCTAATACAAGGCAACAAATATGTCCACCCTCTGTAGAACTGGAGATTGCTTCATCAAAAAGGGCAGACAGAACTGAATTTTAATGAATTTCATTTAATCACAAACATCTGTAAGGAATATATTTATATGTAGTCACATTAAGGGACATCAAGGCCATTGGGGTGTTTATAAATACTTTGCTTGGTAGTTTTCACACTACAACTTACTTTCTCATAAGAAAGTTAACTTTAAAAAAAAAAGTTTTATGAAAACAGAAAGTTTTTTATTTTAACTGTAGACCCTTTTAGTTTACTTCTAGTAATAAAATCAAGATTGACAGAAAAGAAAAGTACCTGAGAGGCTGTTTGTCATTTCCTACATCACAGAGGGTTGTGAATGATCACTTCAGAGCATCTTTATAATCGTCAACCACTTCACGCATTGTTTCAAAAGCTGCTTCAAAATCATCCTTTAAAAAATACACAACACATTACTTTTATAGAACCATTATTTGTATTCCCTTCAATAGATGTTCGTCTTAGTTACTGTGAATAGAATGTATGAAACTACAACTTGAATTAACATAGTTTTATTATTGACAAGTTTGAAATCATCCGACTACTCAGTAAATTTCAGACAAACATATAAACTATCCTCTACTGTCAGCTCCATAATCCACCTACATGATATATACATCTAAAGATAACAATGCATTGAACAGTTTATTAAGTCCATGTTAAGCATTTTATTTTTATATTACTACAAGTGCATCCTAATCATGACCTAAGGACACTGGAGTTTCTGCTTTATTGTTACCGTAACTTCAATCCCTACACTCACCTCCCCTGATCCATAACGTTTATACCAGTGAATGTAAGCTGTGGCATCATACATGACCTTTGACCTTTGAATCAGAGTCTCCAGATAATCAACAATAGTGCCGTGATTGGAAGCGATAGTGATGGACGATGCATCCTTAAGTCCACCAGGATTAGCAGTAGCTGCAAAATAACAAAAACTTGAGGTATTTTTTTATATAACCAAATCTCATGTATCTTTTACACGTTTAATAAATCTATGGTTAACTAGACCATTGTACAATTATACAAACCTGACCTTGAGATCCTTTTGACATTAATAAGAAATGTCCTTGATTATTTACAAATTCAAAGATGACCTTGACAAATGCCAATGACTTTTGTTAACAACAATGATAACCTTGACTACTGCCAATGACCTTGACTATCAATTAAGATGTATGTATCTATAAAGCCACTGAGATTAATCCACAGTAAACAAATTTTATCAATTTGTCTTTCCTAAAGACAATAAACTTATAATTGACAAATAACTTAACAAGGAAAGTACCTTATGGCTAATGATTGTGAACTTTGTGTATTAAAAAGAAAACTTTTTTCTATTACTAAGACTTTCCAAGTTCTAGGCACCATGCATGTTATAAATTACCTGTCCAGACATCCGAGGGGAAGGGGTTTATGTAAATGTTATAAATTATCTGTCCAGACGTCCAAGGGGAAGGGGTTTATGTAAATGTTATAAATTACCTGTCCAGACATCCGAGGGGAAGGGGTTTATGTAAATGTAATAAACTACCTGTCCACACGTGCGAGAGGAAGGGGTTTATGTAAATGTTATAAATTACCTGTCCAGACGTCCGAGGGGAAGGTGTTTATGTAAATGTAATAAATTACCTGTCCAGACGTCCGAGGGGAAGGGGTTTATGTAAATGTAATAAATTACCTCTTCAGACGTCCGAGGGGAAGGGGTTTATGTAAATGTAATAAAATACCTTTCCAGACGTCCGAGGGGAAGGGGTTTATGTAAATGTTATAAATTACCTGTCCATACCCCCTAGGGGAAGGGATTTATGTAAATGTAATAAATTACCTTTCCAGACGCCCTAGGGGAAGGGGTTTATGTAAATGTAATAAATTACCTTTCCAGACGCCCTAGGGGAAGGGGTTTATGTAAATGTAATAAATTACCTGTCCAGACGTCCGAGGGGAAGGGGTTTATGTAAATGTTATAAATTACCTGTCCATACCCCCTAGGGGAAGGGATTTATGTAAATGTAATAAATTACCTTTTCAGACGCCCTAGGGGATGGGGTTTATGTAAATGTAATAAATTACCTTTCCAGACGCCCTAGGGGAAGGGGTTTTAAATGTAATAAATTATCTGTCCAGATGTCCGATGGGAAGGTGTTTATGTAAATGTAATAAATTACCTGTCCGGACGTCCGAGCAGAAGGGGTTAATGTAAATGTAATAAAATACCTTTCCAGACGTCCGAGGGGAAGGGGTTTATGTAAATGTTATAAATTACCTGTCCAGACCCCCTAGGGGAAGGGATTTATGTAAATGTAATAAATTATCTGTCCAGATGTCCAAGGGGAAGGGGTTTATGTAAATGTAATAAATTATCTGTCCAGACGTCCTAGGGGAAGTGGTTTATGTAAATGTAATAAATTACCTGTCCAGACATCCAAGGGGAAAGGGTTCCAAGAAACACAGTTGTAAACAGCCTTGACCTTTTTCTCTAGTGACTTCATTGTGTACAGGAAGGTTTTTCCACTGTCACCGCGGGCAACCACCACATTACTGAGACTACCCAACTGATATAAGTCAAGGTCTGTACTGCTTATTATCCAGGTAAATATAATTAAACAATTGCCATATAGTGTCTTAATTTGAGAGTGTCTTAATTTGAGAGTGTCTTAATTTCATTATAATGGCATCTGAAATATGTGCTCTGTTTTGCTTTCTTTTCATTTTTTTCATGGTTTGTATGTTTTTTTTTTTTTTTATAGTGATTTTTATTATTGCTTCAATTTCTTTTACATTTGAAATTTGACCGGTTCATGTTGTGCATATATGGTGTTTCCCATCTGACTGTTTGATGGACTCTTTTAGGGCCAAACTTAAAGAAAGGATAAGTAATAATACAGAGTGAAAATAAAGTTTTCATGTATTTAGTGTGAATATGACACGAAGTGAAACTGATCTGTTGTATTTCATGGTATAAAAACTTCGGTAAATGTTTTATAAAACAATCAACACACTAACAAAAAGGATACAGTGCCACCTTGTGTGTTGTATCTGCGAACTCCTAGTAATAGTTGACTCATCATAGCCTCCCATGTCACTTTACTGTCATATAAAAACACAATCATTTAACACTTTCTCAATGTAATGAAATTCAGAAAAAAATATTATTATGAATTAAAATTCAGTTTAAAATTATTCAGCAAAGTCTTAAGATTTGGATGACCAGTGATAAGTTGAGTAAGCTGGTTCAAGGGCTTTAAGACAATTTGTTTTCTTCTCCACATTTTTAATAAAATATATCTACAATTACAATTATTATCGTTTATAGATATATAGAAATATGGACAATAAAGACTGAGTAATTAAACCAATATACGTAAATGTTTATACCTCCTGGAGAGATGATTGACGTGGAGAAACTTGTGTCCAGGCATCGGACATGTTGATCGAATCAGTTCCCAGGGCTCCATACCAATACTGACACCTCTGGAAGATATATTTCTACACAATCATTGCCAACTCTAACTGGTATGAACAGATATACAATAAACCCAGCAATTTGTTTTGGTTTTAGTTTTATGGTGACTGTTATTGTAATGATAACCTCTTGATTTATGCCAGGTAATTCAGTTTTCTATTCTTTAATGTCCTATAATTTTTTTTAAAGATGGCCTCACTATGTATGTACCAGTGTGTTTTATATTGTTTTATCTCCTATAAAAAGCTATGGCCATATATGTTTGTCTCAGCTTCCTTCTGATTGTTAGGAACTGAAGCTAGTTTTATAGTGCTATCACTCTGAAGTATCCTGTCAAAGACACCCAGCATACTCTATCTAATCACATCATACAGGTACTAACAACAACCAAACAACTTGTTATACTACCAGAATAATTTGTTTTAAGAAGGGAGTAGCAACTAACATATTTTAGACTCTGGTATAACTCAGCCAACATAGTCCAAAAGCCTCTCTCATGGTAGCAAACTATGAACTGCCAAAAGTGAGACAGTGTCAAGGAAACTTTAGTTAACACAAATAAGTCTATAGAGAAGTAAAAAGATCCCAACTTAAGATACATTTTATGATCATGCAAACTTACTCTAAATCAGAGAAAAGGATTATTACAAAATATTGAAATAACAACTCCATTTACTGATGAGCAATCAAAACTACCAGGTCACCGCTATAATTGACCCAATAACATTATTTTTATAATATATTCTTTTATTTATTTTATTTTTTTTTGAACAGCTGATGTAATGAGTTATGCTTGAATCACACAATGTATACCTGTTAGGTGTGAGGGAGTCTGTTGGCAGCAGCAGTCCACACAGTGAAGCAGCAATACTGTTGTTCATGTTATCAAATGACACACTACCTTTGGCCTTTTTCTCCAAGTTCTGAAGTACATCATCATTGTGTATCAGGATCACACAATCTGAGTTCCTGAAAAGATCAGATTAATTTTGCAAAATATTTCACTGCTGGGTACATTTTTATTAATGACCTTGGAAAAAATATCACATTGACCTTTATATATGAAATTACTCACCTCTGTAGCTTGGACAAGGTCAGCAGTGAGTTGTAATGTTGAAGTGGACTTTCCCCAGATAGTACTCACCTCTGTAGCTTGGACAAGGTCAGCAGTAAGTTGTAATGCTGAAGTGGACTTTCCCCAGATAGTACTCACCTCTGTAGCTTGGACAAAGTCAGCAGTGAGTTGTAATGCTGAAGTGGACTTTCCCCAGATAGTACTCACCTCTGTAGCTTGGACAAGGTCAGCAGTAAGTTGTAATGCTGAAGTGGACTTTCCCCAGATAGTACTCACCTCTGTAGCTTGGACAAAGTCAGCAGTGAGTTGTAATGCTGAAGTGGACTTTCCCCAGATAGTACTCACCTCTGTAGCTTGGACAAAGTCAGCAGTGAGTTGTAATGCTGAAGTGGACTTTCCCCAGATAAACAGGGAGTAAATGCAGTGAGTTGTAATGCTGAAGTGGACTTTCCCCAGATAAACAGGGAGTAAATGCACAAGACATTAGATGAGCTAGGGGATACTGGTCCCTCATCTCCTCACACAAGCGTGACCCTAAACCTGAAGCATGATAAAACAAGGCACATGATAAAGCTATAGTTCAATGATAGTTATCTCCCTTATGTCTCAGATGGAGGTCTCATCAATTAATTAAACAGTCTTAAGATTTCTGGTCATTCAGGTCAGTGATCTTTGTCATTACATCACAGATTGAGATGTTAGTTGACCTAATATAATTAATATCGTCACTCCTTCCATTCTCTTTCTTGTCTCGTCCTATTATATTTACAATACCATTATCACTTCACATACAAGTTCTAAATTTACAGCAATAAGTGATAACAGAATCATATTCGTCTTCAAAATTCAACAATTTGTTCTCTCTACCCCTCTCCAATGTTTACTTTTAATAGTTCTACAAATAATTGTGAAGCCATCCCATCCCCGTTCGACAACCTCTCTCTCACCTGTTCCTCTCAACAGTAAGAAATAATCATGGTCTATAACACATTGGTCAAAATATCTTCAATATATTCGGTATGTAAGTAACCACTTGGCAAAACAGAAACATGTTTCTTCAATAAATTTTGAAAAATTTGAAAATCTTATCCAGATTTTCTAAAGAGCAAGGAATTGTTTTTGTTATTTTTGTGTTAAATGTAAAAATATCTGAAGTATGAAACTACATAGATATATTTGATTAAATGAAACACACTGCTGATGTTTGTATGTATAACGTTTATATCACGTTTATATCATGTTTATGTAACGTTTATATCACATTTATATCACGTTTATATAACGTTTATATCATGTTTATATCACGTGTATATCACATTTATATCACGTTTATATCACGTGTTTATATCATTTATATCACGTTTATATCATGTTTATATCACGTTTATATCACGTGTATATCACATTTATATCACATTTATATCACGTTTATATAACGTTTATATCATGTTTATATCACGTGTATATCACATTTATATCACGTTTATATCATGTTTATATCACGTTTATATCACGTGTATATCACATTTATATCACATTTATATCACGTTTATATCACGTTTATATCATGTTTATATCATGTTTATATCAACAACATATACTTCCTTACCAGACCCTGTTCCACCACTCAAGCTGTGCATCATGATACAGCCTCCATAGTTATCACACCTACACAAAATAATGGTGTATTGTAAAAGAAATATCACAAGGACTTTATTTTTTGTGTTTATATATTTTGCTGATGTTCAAACTGTGACATTCCTTTCATCAAATGCAACTTATTAGTGTATCTTTTATAAATTCACAAATTTACAGGTAACATACAGCAAACCTAAGTACTAAAAATATAACCATGGTCTTTCACTCACTTTAAAATTCAATAGATTCAATGCAACTCTACTTCAAAGAACAAAACTTTGTATGCATGAACAACAAAACACCGACATCGATTCCAGAAACAGCCTAATTATCAACAATTTTAAAAGAATAGAATAGAAGTTCTTATGACACACCCAGTAGAAGATAAGAGCATGTCTTTTCAATGACTCCACTGTCACCTTCATCAGACAAATGACCAGTGTGGAGCGCACTAGCACTGACGTACACAAAAGTGTACGAGATGGTAAGGAATCGCTCAACTTTTCTTGTTTGTACTATAATCCTATGCAATCTTGGATCAAAAATAGTGTGACGAGATGGTAAACAAATCCAGACTATAAAATACACAAGATGGTAACAATGTACTGTAGTCAATTTGACTACACTTTGTTTAACACTTCATCATAGATGTGGAAGAGTTTACAGTCTTATTATCATGGAACAAATATGAACTACTACAATGAATTGATTACGATTCATATCATTCAGTTTGTACAGAGATACATGTACCATTACAGTAAGAGATGAGAATGATTTAACCATGATGGTATTTTAAGATCCAACAAACCATTAAAATCACCAGACTGTTTGGTTAAATAGAGTCTGTATGTTCTGTCAGTCATTTCAATTAAGAAATGAATACTTACTTCTCAACCTCCATTCTGACTCTTTCAAGGCTATCCTCCAAAAGATGCTGCTCTCTCTGGTTGCCATAGTAACCTATCAATAATAAGTTGCAATTTCGTAACTGATTTCTTGAGTTTAAAAACAAATTGTAAATATCAGTGTTTGTTTATATTTTCTTCGAAAATTATCGGATATATGAAATTTCCAAAACTTAATGAATTATGGGTCTAATTAATGCATATAAACCTACTTATCTAATTTAGACATCTTTAGAAGTAACAAGTATTTACCCTGGAGTATACTTCTATGTTGGAAAATGACCTTTGACCTTCAAAATTGTAAAGCAATCTTAAGCTTTGGTTAGATTGGCCAAAGCAAACACTGTGATTACTAAAGGGCACCTGCACTTTCATGTGGGGCCCTGACAAAAGTCTTGATATATACTTGCCACTTATTGATCTACAAGTAACCCCAACCTCCATTCCCTGTCCTTCATATCTATTGTATGTTTAGTAGAATTAAAAAAAAAAGCTTTGTCAATAATCCCACGACATTGAAGCAATTAAAGCCAACCAGTAGGCTGCCTTTAGTTCTACTTAAGTTGAGCATTGCACGACACGGTACAAAAGTACATAGGCATGTGAAAAAGCATGAAAAATTCGTCATTCAGACAATAATACTATGCTAAATTTCATCTATTTACATTTGTCCATGAAATAAGTTTTAGTATCACTATTTTCATTTTGCACTAAGAATTCGGTACACAAGCAGGATGACAATTTTCAAACGGTTATATTCACCTAAAGCCCAGTTAGTGCCTCTCCCTCGTTTTCCACAAACAATATTTCCCTCTCTGTAAATCAGACATATCATAGGACAATTATTTCAGATCCAATAATTGCTATGTAAACAACATAAGAACTGCATTGAATTTTTGAACTTGTATTTTTACATAATAATTTCGGGGGAAAAGTGATAAAATAAGATTATTATTAAATTATGTACTTTTACTGAGTGTGTGACTTTTGAAATGGGGAGCAATTTAAATTGGTTATATAGGATTATACATTAAATAATGCTATGCCTTTATGGATAGAAAATGAATCATATCTTAACACTGTTGATTACTAACCTAATTTTCAAGCCCTTGGATATCTTTCGTAGAACTTTTGGTTCACTGTCAACATGAATAGACCTTTGCTTGTCATCAGATTGTACAAAGGAACGGCTGAAATGTAAAATGGCTTAGGTAAGAGCAAATATATTGGTTCAATTATAAATAGCATGTAGAAATTGTAAAAATAAGTAAAATCATGAAATATCTATATCTTGTACATTGTACTTTTAGATCAATCGGCGACAGCGGTGTATGTAAATTGGTCCGGATTCTGATTACCTCTCCTTGACGATGTGATCTTTGTCGACCTTTTTCCAGAAGGCATGACCAACTTGATTTCCACACTGACCAACGTGGAGAAAGACTGTCGACATTTTTCGACTTTACTGAGAGTTTAGACCGTCATCCTAATGTCATGTTAGACGTTGACAACGCCACAAACAAAAGCCACACACACTTTTCACCTGAGTATCGCCATTTTGGTGTCTTGTAAAAGTTTATCCGGAAAACGTATTGAAGAATGCGGATCGGTACAATATTTCAGCTTTATGTATGGAATACTATGAAAGGATCAGTTGGTATCTGAAGGAATATCACAATTATACCCTATACGTGATATCTATTTATGCAATGAGTGTGAGAGATTGTAATTATAATATCTTTGAAAAATTATAACAGTTCTGTATATTTCAGTCAATACTTATAATATAACCGTATCGTATTACACATCCTCGATACTCCAGGGGTTATGATCACTTTCTCTCTCTGTACCACTGGAACCATCCTCGATACTCCAGGGGTTATGATCACTTTCTCTCTCTGTACCACTGGAACCATCCTCGATGCTCCAGGGGTTATGATCACTTTCTCTGTACCACTGGAACCATCCTCGATGCTCCAGGGGTTATGACCACTTTCTCTGTACCACTGGAACCATCCTCGATACTCCTTGGGTTACGATCACTTTCGCTCTCTGCACCCTTGGAACCATCCTCAATACTCCAGGGGTTACGATCACTTTCTCTCTCTGTTCCCCTGGAACCATCCTCGATACTCCAGGGGTTTCGATCACCTTCATTCTCTGTACATTTGGAACCATCCTCGATACTCCAGGAGTTTCGATCACTTTCATTCTCTGTACATTTGGAACCATCCTCGATACTCCAGGAGTTTCGATCACTTTCTCACCCCTGGAAAATGTCATGGCAAAAATGAAGCCAGAAACGGAGTTCAGATGTTCATGGTTTGAACAAATACTGTAATGTTGTTGATCGGAAGGTTCCAAATTTTAATTTTGATCGTATATGCACCCGAGTTTGATGTGTGCTGTGTGTATCCATGTATGTATTTACATTGCGATCGAGGTGTTCATATCACGTTATTAGACAATTTGCCACTATGATAATATCAGCAAAACTACCAAGCATCCTTTTTTGGAGATGTCGTGGTGGTGTGATGTTTACGCAGTCTGGAATTTCTTGGCTGGGCGATTTGGTAGCGTAAATCGTGAGTTCGAGGCACTCGGACAGGGCACGAGTCAAAAATGGTCTTCCTTCATTAATTATGTTACAATGTCCACAATATTGATAAATTAACACAATTGATCCTATACAGAAATATCATTGATCCGAAGGTTCCAGATTTGAATTACCTGTTGTAATAATACCCAAGTTTGATATACAATGTATTGTTTCGCACTAAAAACCATGGCATACACCAGTAAAACCAAGACATGTCAATTGTATAGGGAAAAATATAGAGATGAGTCTTCCTTTTAGGATTGAATCTACTTTGGGTTATTGATAAGGTTACTACTTTTTGGGGTTTTTCTTTTTTCTGTGAATTTGGGTGAAATTCCGAGAATGAGTTTTGATAAAATGATTGATAAACCGCACTTATCAAGATGTGGCAAAGACAGACTGTAACAAAAAAATAAGGTGTGTGTTTCAAAGGGCACTGCTAATGTAAATGAAGTTCTAATAATTTCGGTTATAAACTGCTTGTTTTTTTTGTAAAGAAAACGATGTATATGTAGCCAATGGACGTATTGGTAAAGATAAACTAATTGGGAAAACAACATGTAATGATACTAGTGTAATTGACTATCTTTTATTGTCATCAGATCTGTTTCAATTTGTTGATAATTTTGAAATCGTTGATTTTGATCCTTTATTTTCGGATGTGCATTGTAGATTAGAATTTCAAATGAACAAAATGGAAATTCGTCATAAGATCCATGATAAGTGTCACGATTCCTTGACAAATGACTTTATTAAATGGAAGACTGACAAGGTAACTAATTGTGTACAATATATTGAAGAAGATGACAATGGTATGCTGAAAGAAATTGTTGAAAAAATAGATGTTTTATCTCAAAAACCGTGCAATCTAGTAGATCTTGTTGAAATAAATGATATAGTACGTTCTATAAATAATATGTTCAAAACTTCGGCAAAGTGTGTATTTGGTGAAAAGAAACGTATAGTAAAGCATACAAAAGAAGAAACGCTTATAAGCCTTGGTTTACACGTGAGTGCCATAGTAAAAGAATAGACTTTCATAACGCTAAACGTCAGTATAACGTCGAGAAAACTCTCGCAAATAAAATTACTCTTAAAAATATAGGTACAGAGTATAGGAAAACTTTAAACAAGTCATATAGAATTCACCAAGAGAAAATGGAAACGGAACTAAGAAACGTTTCGAACCTAGAGCTGAAAACCTTTTGGCATGTTTTGAATGAAATTGATGGCCCCTGTAAGGAACAGAAGTTAGACAAAAATATTAATGAATTATATAACTACTTTAAAGAGTTGAATAAGGGAGGTAACTCTGAAGAGATGTTTGATGATGTGGTTATAGATGGGGATAGTAGATTTGATCATCTGTTGAATGGAAATATTACTGAATGTGAAATTAGAGAATCCATTGTAAGCTTGAAGTGTAATAAAGCTTCAGGTTTTGACGGAATTTTGAATGAATATTTAAAATCTACTCTTGAAATGTTTAAACCTTTGTATTGTAACTTGTTTAATATTATATTTAATACTGGTTGTATTCCCGACTCTTGGAAGATAAGGGTTATTAAACCCATTTATAAACGTAAAGGAGATCCAGCTGACTTAGACAATTACAGAGCTATAAGTCTTGTTTCATGTCTAGGAAAAGTTTTTTACACCAATATTTAATAACAGACTAAACAAGTTGACTGATGAAATTAGTCTAATTACCTGCTCCCAGGCTGGCTTCAGGAAAAATCATTCCACCACTGACAACATTTTTATTCTACATGCATTGACTTCTATTTATTTTTCTCTAGGAAAGAAATTATTCTGTTCATTTATAGGTTTCAGGAAAGCTTTTGATTCAGTTTTGAGACTTGGTCTATGGAGAAAAGTTCAAAAGAGTAATATAACCGGGAAGATGTTCAAAGTAATATTTAATTTGTATGCAAATACTCAATCTTGTGTCAAAATGGCAACGAATTGTCAGAAATGTTCAATTGTAATATCGGGGTAAAACAAGGAGAAAATTTATCACAGTTTTTATTTTCAATTTATCTTAATGATCTGGAAGATTTTCTTGCAGAAAATAATGTTAATTGTCTTCAAACAATAGAAACTTTGAGTGAAAATATAGAAATGTACTTAAAATTGTTTATTCTTCTGTATGCAGACGACACCATTATTATGTCTGAAACAGCGGAAGGACTTCAATCTGCTCTTAATACTTTTGAAGTATATTGTAATACCTGGAAGCCTAATGTTAATACTAACAAAACCAAAATTGTTATATCTGCAAAGAGAAAAGGTCCCACAGCCTTCCACTTTACATTGTGTAGTGAAGAAATAGAAATTCTTGATGAATTTCCTTATTTGGGTGTTTTAATTAATTACAACGGAAGTTACTTTAAAGCTAAATCTAAATTAATTGAACGGTCTGAAAAAGCAATGTTTGCTGTTTATAAGAAAATAAGAAATATTCAGCTTCCAGTAGACTTTCAGTTGAAGAGTTTTGACTCACTTGTGTTGCCTATACTTTTATATTCAGTAGAAGTTTGGGGTTTTGAAAATTTAAGTGCCATTGAAAAACTTCATTTACAATTCTGCAAACGTATTTTAGGTATTAGATAAAGTACACCAAATTTTATGATTTATGGTGAAATGGGGAGATTCCCTTTACTGATCGAAGCTAAAAGCAGAGTAATTATGTTTTGGTATAAATTAATTACCTGTAATAACTTGTCAAGTATCATGTATAACTTAATGTACAATCTACAAATTAGTGGCAATATGGATTTCAAATGGTTGCAAAATGTTCAAAATATATTTATAGAAACTGGTTTTAACTTTATCTGGGGCTACCAGAAAATATGTACATTTAATAGAAATTATTTGAAACTTGTCGTTAAGCAAATATTACAAGACCAGTTCATACAAAAATGGTTCAGTGATGTAATTAATTCCCCTCGAGGAAATACCTACTGTATAATGAAGAGCAATTTTGAATTAGAAAAATATCTTTTGAAACTTAAACCTAGAGGAAGACAAATTATCGTTAAATTTAGAACTTAAATATGCATTAACCTGTAGAAACAGGAAGATGGATTGGAATACCAAGGGAGAACAGAATTTGTAATCTTTGCTCAAATGAAATTGGCGATGAATACCACTATCTTTTTAGATGCGATCATGAATCAGTTCGTAGAATTAGAGATCAATTTATCCCACGTTACTATACTACTTATCCTAGTATTACAAAAAAAAAACATGGACTTTTTTCTGCATGTAATGTTAAAGTTTTATCAAATCTCAGTAAATTTCTTGAAAAGCTTGATAATCTATTGAATGCACGTAGCTAAAATAATATTATGTATGTAATTGTTTACCGCCATGCCAAGAATGTTTTTTTTTGTAATCTGACCTCTTGTAACATACTTTGTATGTCTGAGAGTACCAATAAAATCTGAAAATCTGCTAAGAGTGGTCACTGAAAGCTTTCTATCATTCTGACACATTTCTTGTATTATGACAGTTATGCTTTCTAGAGCGGGTCCAGGGTCGAACGGCCCCGGTGGGAAAGGGGGAGGGGGTCGGCGAAAGGGCTGGGGTCGTGTGGGGGGAGCCCTCCTGATGCTGTCGAGCATTAGCTAATCGTAAATATCTTTTCTATTTACACAAACACATTTATTCAACAAAAGTGACAAAATGAAGTAATATGTTTTGTTAACCACGATTGCTGTTTCGAGCGTACAAATATACACCATTGATACGCTACTGTAAGTACCATTCTCAATTTAATTGGATCGGAGTAGTGAGTGATAAACTCCGGCCTTGAAATTCTCAGATTTCTCAAATCAAGACTTTGTTGCCATTTGATGGTAAATTGTCGCAGTGGATGTTCCACCTGAGGTTGGACTAAAGTGTCGTCCTAGGTACGCGGCGGATGAGACGTTATAATTATATTTAATAGGATATTGAGCGATGTTTGTTATTTATTTCTGGTTTTTTTTTTTTTTAGGACATTTTGTATTGCAATTTATTTTCCTTTGGTTGTGATTAACTGAACTGTCCAATGGTACTCCTAAGATTCAGAACTCTTTTTATACTCCGTTTTCTATATTGGAGTCCATACATCCATGTGATTGATAACGGTTGTGAAAACGCAATGACTGAGGGTGTTAAATTTATATGCCATGGCGTATTGGATAATTTTGACTAGTCATCGGTTATTTTATTATGTTATAATTGTATGCCACCAATAAAACGTGTTGATTTGATATTATCGATCTCTTTTGTTCTTATTTAATTGCTAAAAACTGGATCGATACATTCTAACTACATAATAATAATTATTATTATGACATTCTTCACGACCCGTCAACACATAAAAGGCCATTAGGGCCATCAACCGGTGAAACACACAGATATCCAAAACGGGAAGAACATCAAACATACTAAAATGTAAAGACAAATGCTAAAACTTTTGAATGGTCAATTATAACAAAAGATTAAAATGGTAAGTCATATTCTAATAATACAGACCAACGTCTTCCAGATAACCTAGAAGTTTATTAATCTCAACAGTTTCAAAAAGGGTCTTTAGACATGTAATGTTATGATAAAAAAAAATTCTCGAGTAGACAGAAGGTCAAAGCAGTCCAAAAATGTTCAACGGTGAATTGCTTATCACATTCTATCAGCGATGGTTATACATACATATAAGATCAAAAATATTATAAAATTGCACGTAAAATTAAAAACAAAACATATTTAAATAAAGTTTACTTAAGTAATGTGTTATTATTTATGTATAGCGTCGTGATTCTTGGAGTTTGTGATGACAAACAAAGTAAATTCCACGTAATCGTTTGTATTTCCAGCCGAATCTAGAAATAAATTACAACATACAGGATGTACACGTCACACTGCTGAGGTCAAAGGTCATGTTTCTTTCGTGAGTACATAAGCGGTCGTCAGATTAATGTTTGAATGCGTAATTATTTTTCATTCATAGGTATAGTAAGAAAGAGACAAGCGAAACTTATTTGCAACATACCTTGATTTTTATATTTGAAGTCCAACTGTAACGGTTGATTAAAATAAGTGTTTTGAAATTGTATAGTTTCCATTGTTACAAGCGGCTCTGTGACGAAGTCTACGCTAAACGGACACGAACGTTCGATCGGAAATCCAGAAGCTGAAGAAATGAATCGACACTCAGAAAGGAACCAATTTCCTCCGCCTCAGTTATTCAAGTTTGATAACTTGTAAGTATAGGATTAAGAAAATTAAATAATGTGCCGCAGAACCAACGAATATCGCAATGGCTTTGACATATTGTAGTGACAGCTGCAAAAGTTCGCGGAAGGCCTTACGTGTTGCTATATTTAGGACTATCAGTACGCAGTGTTTATGTAACTGAAAACAGAAGCTGTCGAATGCCTAATAAAGATATCAAATAATGATTCAGATAACGAAGACATTTTAGTGAAAAAATGCATTAGGATAATCGCATCCAATGGAATTTTGAAAAGGTAATTCAGACTAGCTAGTGGTTAACCAAAAGTACGAACTTCCATGTGCGGTCACTACGGATAAGGACGGATACACGGATATATAATTAACTTGTTTGTGCAATAGCCTATTACTTCCTGTTTTAGTAATTTTTGTGAAATGCACAAGGTGTGACTGTATACTGCTCATATAAAGTCATATCATTGTTGTCACAACAAGTTTAGTAAACCATGCAAATATGGATAATATCTATATATAGTCCAGCATTTGTAAATTACTGTTTCTTCCAAGGGGATAATGATTTTCATCACAATTGATGATTTTAATCATGAGCTGTAGATTTTTTATATTAATATTTGAAACACAAACACATGAACAAAAAAAATGTCATATTTTTAACATGGCCTAGTAATGTTTGATAACCGAGTTTGTATAAATAGTGGTTCTTGGGGCCCACAGAGGCCTGAGAAGTGGGGCTCAAAAGGGGATATTTATTTAAAAGCCTTGGATTTTGTCCAAATTTTGGTCAGAAGGGTTGGTGCTGAATATGGAAAATAGAAAAATTCTTTGTAATCCTTCCCTTCTCTGATATCATGTCCCATTTGGCCTGAAGTTTATGTGGCTCACCTCGGTTTGGATAAATCAATACCAGGTGATTACTGCAGGCCCAGTTAGCCTCTTGTTTATTGCAATTTTTTTTTCAAAAACATTCTGCGTTTCTATTTCAAATAATCCTGCTTTTGAGTAACTAACTGATTTCTAAAACCAGTAACTACTCTCCCTCCAATGCAGCACTATTACTCATGTGTGGAATATGTTGCTCTCATAACCTCAGCATCTCTGCCTTCTGGGACTAGAAAATGGAATTGTCTTTTTAATTTTACTCCTGAAAAATGGTCTAAAATTTATCAACTTTCATTCCATATAACAAAAAATTCCAAATTAGTATGGTTTCACATTAGAGTCATTCATCATATTCTAACTACAAATTTCTTTTCTTCATAAAACTAACCTTGCTCCTAGTCCGACATGTTGTTTTGTAATACTGATGATGAAACAATCATACATTGTCTTTGGGATTGTGAAAAAGTGCAAGAGCTTCTTCAGCAATTTGAAACACTTCTAGATCTTTTATTAATACCTTTCGCATACAATAAGAGTTCATTTATATTTGGAATAATTTCACACCAATGCAACTCTTTTGATAATGGAATTTTATTAGTTATTAAACACTATATCTACAGGAGCAGATGTCTCAACAAATCCTTAAATGTGAATGCCCTAATTAATGCAATTGAGGATAACTTTACAGTCAATAAATACATAAATAGTAGAAAAAATGGGTACAGGAAAAGACAATTCAAATTACACTGGAGGAAATGGAAACCACTTTTAGATCTTTAGTTCTGGAGTTCCAGAGATTCCTGTAGAAGCATTGTCTATAGTGTTTTTTTCTTTTATCTTTTTAATTTTGTACATGTGCCCAGTGTTGGAATACTACACAAGTAATCAGTTTCAGATATTTTAATTTTCCAGTGTTACGATGGTCTTGTACACCAACAAGCTCATGGATATATCACATGTATAGATTGTAACCACTCACTGTTATACCAGGAAACAATGGACTGGTTTCATTATATATACAAAATGTAGCTATATATATGCAGGCAGTTATTTTTGCTCCAGACCATATTGTTTTTTTCCTGTTTTATATATGTCACCAATTTGTGGTGATATCAACTATACAGTTACTCATGTGACTAGTAATTTATTTTCACAGTAACATAAATAACCAGTTTATAGTATGTTTGACTCCCATTTAAACAAGTAAGGTAAGTAACCTTTGTTCTAGTGTCTGGATCTGTCTCCTAGCTTATTACCTTGATAGGAATCAGTCTATTAGTAACCAGAATATGACATATCTGATTGTCTATATATATAAATAACTTGTGTACTTCCAGTAGTTCTTAATAACTAGGGTATTGTAAATTTGATTACCTATTTATGTGATTTAGTCTGTAGGTAACTAGTATATGGTATATCTGATAATTTATTTTATATTTGTTAAACCACTCTATAAGTAACCAGTTATGGTGTACTTGGCTACCTACTTAAATAACATTTGTGGGTTTATCTGATTTATTGGTAATCAGTTAAGTTAACCAATTTAATCAAAATATGAGTAACCAGTTATGGTATATACTCAATGTTTGTATTTGAATGTTTGTCTATTATGAAGTTCTCATTAGTTATTTATACATTTATCTCTAGTGTGATCTCACTATTATTACTTTGAATTTTTTCCCTATATTTCATGATGCCTGTAACCACATAGTAAATCAAGCCAACACAGCACAGTCTATATATTTGTTTACTAAATAAACATTCTTCAGGCTTGATATCTGATTTATCAATTTAAGTAGTCTGGAGAAACTACCTCTCTTACATACTATCCCCCACCTTTTTCTATCCTCTCTTCATCTTTCATGTACATATATTGTGTATGTTTGTTTTACATGTAAATTCTTCAAAAATAAAATAATGAGAAAGAAAATAGAATTACAAAAGCTATTAGCCCAGAAAGATACTTGACTGGCAGTAATCAGTGTTGTGGAAGATCTCTGGTATTCAAACAAGGAAAAGCAGTATAAAAAATGACATTGTTCCTTATCCTGTAACTATTGTAAAAAATCTATTTAACTCCTTTTTGCCAACAAATATTTTGGTGTGTTTCAGGGAAAATCATGTTCAGGCCCATCTGAAGAGAGTGTATGGGTGTCTGTCCATATCTATGTTTACTGCCTGTGCTGGCGCCTACGTTCACCTTTATACAGCATGGCTCCAGGTAAGTCCAGTACTTTTACTAAACACAAGATATTTATTTGAAGACAAACAGACTAGTTAACATTTCATAAATTTCCTCAAAACAAATATTAGTTACACAATTTAATGCTTAGTCAAATTTTTTAATGAGGCATGATATATGTCGATGTATTCATCAAAGAATTTATTTCAGGCTGGTATTCTGACCACAATTGCATCCATTGGGCTGATGATTTGGCTTGCCTCTACCCGTCACTCCAAGGAAAATGAATCTAAGAGACTTGCTATATTTGCTGGCTTCACATTCCTTTCTGGTAAGAATGAAATTCCATTGCTTTCATGAGGTAATACTTTCATTTCTTTGGTACAAATGTAAGGATGTTTACCTTACACCCTGATGCAGGAGTAAGGATGAATATTTAAATGTCTCTTGTACTGGATTTAGGATGACTACTTATATTTCTCTGGTGCAGGAGTAAGATTGAATACTTATATTTCTCTGGTACAGGAGTAAGGTTGAATACTTATATTTCTCTGGTACAGGAGTAAGGTTGAATACTTATATTTCTCTGGTACAGGAGTAAGGTTGAATGTTAGATAGTAAGAGTAAATACTATGGATTAATGAATGTGAACTTTTATTTTTTTTTTGAGTACATGAAGTTTGAAGTTAATAAGCAGATAAATTGTCAGTTTAAATTCAATTTAGAATGTGCTGAAATGACTTTGAGTTTCTAATCTACATTAAATATAACTCTAAATATATTGATATATATATATTTAGAAATCCATGTTAGCATTCCTACGAAGTTTATTCACTGCACAGAAAACTTTCAATATACATGCAACATTTTGAAGCAAAACCAATTTTCAGTTTAAGTTGGATACCCCAGAATCATAATGATTAATTATAATTTCAGGAATGTCTCTTGGACCCGTCCTTGACTATGTCATTATGATTGACCCTAGGTAAGTGGCATTATGATTGACCCTAGGTAAGTGTCATTAGGATTGACCCTGTGCAAGTGTTATTATGATTAACCCTAGGTAAGTGGCATTATGATTGACCCTAGGTAAGTGGCAGTATGATTGACCCTAGGTAAGTGTTGACCCTAGGTAAGTGGCATTATGATTGACCCTAGGTAAGTGGCATTATGATTGACCCTAGGTAAGTGGCATTATGATTAACCCTAGGTAAGTGGCATTATGGTTGACCCTAGGTATGTGGCATTATGATTGACCCTAGATAAGTGGCATTATGATTGACCCTAGGTAAGTGGCATTATGATTGACCCTAGGTAAGTGTCATTATGATTGACCCTGTGTAAGTGGCATTATGATTGACCCTGTGTAAGTGGCATTATGATTGACCCTGTGTAAGTGGCATTATGATTGACCCTGTGTAAGTGGCATTATGATTGACCCTAGGTAAGTGGCATTATGATTGACCCTAGGTAAGTGTCATTATGATTGACCCTGTGTAAGTGGTATTATGATTGACCCTGTGTAAGTGTCATTATGATTGACCCTAGGTAAGTGGTATTATGATTGACCCTGTGTAAGTGGCAGTATGATTGACCCTAGGTAAGTGTTGACCCTAGGTAAGTGTCATTATGATCGACCCTAGATAAGTGTCATTATGATTGACCCTAGGTAAGTGTCATTATGATTGACCCTAGGTAAGTGGCATTATGATTGACCCTGTGTAAGTGGCATTATGATTGACCCTAGGTAAGTGGCATGATTGACCCTAGGTAAGTGTCATTATGATTGACCCTAGGTAAGTGACATTATGATTGACCCTAGGTAAGTGTCATTAGGATTGACCCTGTGTAAGTGTCATTATGATTGACCCTAGGTAAGTGTCATTAGGATTGACCCTGTGTAAGTGTCATTATGATTGACCCTAGGTAAGTGTCATTATGATTGACCCTAGGTAAGTGTCATTAGGATTGACCCTGTGTAAGTGGCATTATGATTGACCCTAGGTAAGTGGCTGTATGATTGACCCTAGGTAAGTGGCATTATGATTGACCCTAGGTAAGTGGCATGATTGACCCTAGGTAAGTGGCATTATGATTGATCCTATGTAAGTGGCATTATGATTGACCCTGTGTAAGTGGCATTATGATTGACCCTAGGTAAGTGGCATTATGATTGACCCTAGGTAAGTGGCATTATGATTGACCCTAGGTAAGTGGCATTATGATTGACCCTGTGTAAGTGGCATTATGATTGACCCTGTGTAAGTGGCATTATGATTGACCCTGTGTAAGTGGCATTATGATTGACCCTAGGTAAGTGGCATTATGATTGACCCTGTGTAAGTGGCATTATGATTGACCCTGTGTAAGTGGCATTATGATTGACCCTGTGTAAGTGGCATTATGATTGACCCTAGAATTGGCATTATGAACTAATCTAAAAAGTCCAAAGTGGAGTTAATACAACAATGTTTGCTTTTTCCTGATACAGCAAACAAGTTTGTAGACTTTATATAAACGTACATTTTGTACACATAACAATAGAAGGATGGTTTGGATATTATGTAGTGGAAACTTTCCCCAATAACTGTTTACCCACTTATTTCAACATTGACTGATCCTGCAACTCCTTGGATCATATAAGTAAAGTAGCTGACTCCGTTTTTGTTACACTGACCTTGAGGTTATCTTTAATCTGGTATGAAACTTGTATTTTAGTGATTTTTGCAAATACATGGCTGCTGTATCAGATGTCAGATATTTTGAGTGATATGGAGCCAGCTGGTGGCTGTAGGACAACACAATTCTCTGACACCGACCACTTGGTTAAAGATATTTTAGACTTAACACCTTCCTTATAATGATTTAAGAGAGACTTGTGCATGGCCACTTTGTCTGAGGTCACCATTCTGCATCATCATTCCAGATCAAGCCATTATACAGTTAAATGTTTTCCAATTGAGTCAATACCATAACAATACCCAGTGAATGACTTAAGATGTTTTATAATAATCTGAAGTGTTCTGGTCCTGCTCATTTTGAAATCTTATAATCTTATTTTTCCAGCATCATTGTAACAGCATTAATGGGAACCTCAGTAATCTTCATCAGCTTCTCTCTGGCTGCATTGTACAATACCAATCGTACCTACCTGTACATGGGCGGTAAGTCTGCTGCAACGTTCTTTGTTTCATATCAACCTGGTCAAGGGAGATAAATCTGTTGTGGGATGATACTCCATACAAATCACTTTTTATCATTTGTCCTTCCATATTATTTTTGCAATGATTATCTCTATTTCTGGAGAATTACTGGCTAACTCCTTCTCCAATTTTATATGTAGTTTCACCATGATCTCTAGTTTTACATACTCGACCATTTTGAGATTGATCAGAAAAACAAAATGGCGGAGAGACGGCCATATAGGTTTTCGATGTTTACAATTAGTTACTGCTTTTTTCAGAAGCAGTGGATGGATGTGTCTGAAATTTTATGTGAAGGATTCCTGTGGTCCCTAGTTGTGCTGTTTTGGTTTTAAACTTGTTAGAAAAACCAAATTGCTGTTAGGCAGCATCTTGGAATTACCAATTATGTTCCAGGGAAAATGAGCCCACCAAAACACAAAGTACATTTGTTTTCCCTCCAGAAATATGTCCCCTTGTGTGTACATGTTTGATAACAGACTGCATCACTATGGTATAAATTACCCAGGGAAATGACAATTGTTTTTGTTGGCTGTTTCCTGTTGAATTTAATGTGAATTTTGTTGGTTTTCAGGATTCTTGTTGAGCACATTGAGCTGGCTCTGCCTTGCTGGTCTCCTCAACATTTTCATTGGTTCTAGACTAATCTGGGAAGTAAGTATTTTATTATTAATTTTTTATAGTAATTTACAGTGTTAATACAGGGTTGGTATTTGTTTTGCTAATTGACTGTGGGGTTCTTATGGTTTTACCATTAGAGACATACAATATGAAAACCGTTTTTAAATTCTTTTGTTGTAATAATGATGATATGAACTATTTATGATATGTAAAAATAAGGGGGACTATGCCATACAGTATGATATAGAATAACAAAATATCACCTCTATTTCAAATGAGAAGGATCAGACTGAATACTCAGGTAGGATATGTCTCTGGTCGCTCCTTAATTCTCGGTATCATTGATTACCAGGTTCAGCTGTATGCTGGTCTGTTTGTCTTCTGTGCCTTTGTGCTGTATGATACCCAAATGATTGTAGAGAAGAAGAGAATGGGAGATGATGACTACATCTGGTAGGTTGAAATCAAACGAATAAAAAAAAAGAAAATTTGTCTAAAAAGTTTTTTCTGAAGAGTAGATATATTTGTAGACTCGAGATTATAAGGATCTTGCCAATCAACTGTAAGGAAATATGATCCATTGTAAGTTCATGAATGTTAGAGAATCAATAAATCTTAGAGTTGTCTCTTTAATGATCATTTAGCTTGTATTTACCAACTCATGCAGAATAAGGATAGACTGTCTTTTAAGCCCACTATCTAATAGATGGTGGGTTATTCAAATCGCCCTGCGTCCGTGGTCCCTGATTCGTCCGTCCGTCCGTAAACAATTCTTGTTACCGCTATTTCTGGAAAAGTACTGGATGGATCTTTCTCAAATTTCATATGCAGTTTCCCCTTCGTCCCTAGTTGTGCATTGTACCTTTTTTGGACTGATTCGAATTCAAGATGGCCGGCAGGTGGCCATCTTGGATTTTGGAAGTAAAAGTTTGTTACCGCTATTTCTGAGAAAGTACTGGATGGATCTTCCTCAAATTTCATATGCAGTTTTCCCTTGGTCCCTAGTTGTGCATTGTACCGTTTTTGGACCCTTGATGGCCGACAGGTGGCCATCTTGGATTTTGGAAGTAAAAGTTTGTTACTGCTATTTCTTGGAAAGTACTGGATGGATCTTTCTCAAATTCCATATGCAGTTTCCCCTTGGTCCCTAGCTGTGCATTGTACCTTTTTTGGACTGATTCAAATTCAAGATGGCCGACAGGTGGCCATCTTGGATTTTGGATGTAAAAGTTTGTTATTGCTATTTCTTGGAAAGTACTGGATGGATCTCTCAAATTTCATATGCAGTTTCACATTTCATATGCAGTTTCCCTTTGGTTCCAAGTTGTGCATTATACCTTTTTGGACTGATCCAAAATCAAGATGGCTGACAGGTGGCCATCTTGGATTTTGAATGTAAAAGTTTGTTACTGGTATTTCTTGGAAAGTACTGGATGGATCTTTCTCAAATTTCATATGCAGGTTCCCTTTGGTTCCAAGTTGTGCATTATACCTTTTTGGACTGATCCAAAATCAAGATGGCTGACTGGCAGCCATCTTGGATTTTGAGAGTAAAATCTTGTTACTGCTATATCTGAGGAAGTACTGGATGGATCCTTCTGATATTTCATAGATATTGGTTTCCCTTGGTCCCTAGTTGTGCATTGTACCTTTTTTGAACTGATTTGAAATCAAGGTGGCCCACAGGCAGCCATCTTGGATGTCGACTGTAATACAGCACAAGCATATTGTCCATTATCCACCTGTAACTGACTGCTATCTAATAATACTTTGGGATCTTTTTCAAACAATATTTGCTAATAGGTGCTTAATAAAAATATCTTGTGCCATCATTGAGTACATTCAATGAAGACCAGTTCATGAACATTTACAACACCTGTAACAAACAAAAAAAATAAACAAATCTTCAAGAACTGAAAACAGATCCTCAAATGGTGGGCGCCAAGATCCCTCTTGTTAATTAGTGAAAATGATTTTGGGTATCAAGGTCTCAAAATGACCCCCTAGCCATTATTTAAGTGAATCAGATATGTCATTAGAGGAATATATTGAAGTTGTTGTAAGGAATAAGTGAGGTCTCTTCCTTGAGAATTTTGTCAAATTTATGTTTCAGGCATAGTGTGGATTTATTTATTGACTTCATCCAAATCTTTCGCCGCCTTCTCATCATTCTGTCCAACAAGGTTTGTCATTAAAATCCCTTAAATATATTATTTGATGATGGCCTTTACGACTATAGAAAAGAAAAGACTGAATATTTGTTAAATTGTTAATTTGTATGTTAAGTTTGGAGGTAAAATAGCCAAGATAACTGATTTATGAGAAACTTAGTTAAAAAAATATGTGTCAATTGTTGTCAGTATACTCGGTACATAAATGAATGTTTACTCTGGTGTTCCAGTGACCTTGAAACGTCTTATTGTTATTATGTAATATAGATCAGTGATGAGTTCAATAAGATGTACATTCATAAATGTTTGTGTGTGTTATTTGGGAGTGAAAAGTATATAAAAAGTTTAAACTGTTCATTTTTACTCGTAGGACAAGAAGAAGGAAAAGAATTAAGAGGGAGGAGACGTTGAAGGATGGTTGTTATTGACAACCACAATAAAAGAAAATGTTCTACATTCCCAAAAAACAGGATTATGGCTAACATACAAGTGTTACACAGTTCTATTAAGATGAATATTTTGTGAAAATATGCTGCTGTTTTTGGGAAGAAGAACTTATCTGACCTTATTAAGTATTGGTTTAATAGTAATCATATCCATAACCAAGCATGAAAGATTCTGTAGCTTCATATCTTCCCTGTTGTGAAATTATGTTACCTTTAATTGATGTTGGATTTTCATTTCATTACTGACAACTACATAATTTGAAAATGATTAAAATTACAGATTAAGAACTGACTAGAACTTTAAAAACATATATGACTTTTAGTTGTGTTGTTTCAGAACATCAACAATCATCAATGTAAGAAACATGAAGAGTGTTAAAGTTGATGATGTTTTGGTATTAAAGACTTCGGCAGTTTTTTACCGTCACAAGCTTATTGTTTTTATTACCTACATATGTATTCTGGATTTCATTTTTTATTTATTCCTAAATGTTGTGAACTAATTTGCTTTGTTCATCTTGCAAAATTATTTAATTTTTATTATTATTTATCAGTACATAGAAATAAAGACAGCGTTTTGAATATTTTATATGTAGCACAAGAGTTTAACAGTTACATTTTATATGTATAAATATAATCAGACACAATCTTTTGAGCTTGTTTTCCACAAAAATGCAATTTGCAGTAATTACATCTCAGAAATATCCAGCTGAATCTTTATACTCATGATATTGTTACATGTTGTATCATGCTTACATAATATACATCGTTTCATGTTTTCTTTTCATATTACACCTTACTGAAAATGGTAGATTTCCTGTGTAGTGGATTATTTCCAGTCTGGAGCGAATTCAATTCTGAATAATGAGGACTTGAATTTGAAATGTGCAGGTGAAATCTTGATAGGATAATGTTTTAATATACAGAAGTGAAAAATGCATTTTCAAACAAATATTTTTTGTTTTGAAGATATTTCATAAGTGACTAAAAAGTTGAATGTTTCAAATATATACAGATATTTAGATACAGGATACTGTTGTTACTTGCCTGATTTGAATTACCGTTTTAAATGGTTTGGTATTTATTAGAGTCAACAACAGAACTGTACAGTTTACATCATATGCATTGTTGGTGTTGGTTCATTAAATGAATAGCTAAAATTACCACCGTTATCAGTTTAAATAAAAATATGAGGGATTCACAACTTTTGATAATTAGTGCCATATGAGTTTGGAAATTGTATGACTCATTTAAAAAAGTTGATTAAATAATTTTTGTGTCTGATTTTTAACATTCATCTCATTTCACATACTAATGATTTAATTCTTTGCTAACAAGCAAATGCAACTTGATTAAACAGAAAGTAGATGTACATACAAACAATCATGGAAAAAGATGTTTGAAGACATCATACTTCAATAAAGTTGCAGTAAAGTAGAAATGTTTTCTGTTTAATACCATTTTATACAGAGTGATAAGTATGGATTTTATATGTGGTAAACATTTTATTATGTTTCATCTGGTATTTGGTTGTAGTTTATAACATCGGTTTTCTGAAATCGGAATAAAATGTTAAATGTTGAGGTAGAAATTTGGATATTTTCTTGAATAACAAAAAGAATGAAGAATATTCCTAACTGGGATCAGATTAAAATTCCTTCACGGAAAAAATGAAAACTTGACAAGTTTTGATGGCTTTTGGTGTAGCTTTGATTACCTTGTTTGTTTAGATATTGTTTTGTTTGTTATCTATTGTGTACTGGCCCTTCTTCAATGTACAGGAATAAATTCTTTTCATCACATATATCTAGTTTGGTTTTCTTCAACATAGATAAAATTTGGCTGACATTGTCTTAACGTCCTGTCAACAGTTATGTCTAGTCTTTGAGTTTAATATTTTCTCTTAACTGCCTAAGAAGTTTGGCCTCTGGGTGAAATGATGGACACACTTTTCATCCATAGTCACAAACCTCTGCAGAAAGTTAGCAGGCTCTGCCTCTAAAAGGTTGAGATTAGCACGCGACAAAGTCAGCCTGGTGTGTTTCTGATCAACTGTCAGAGTACTGGTACCCAACAGGCCGTGAGCTTTCCCATTACAAGATCTTCTGTAAGAATGGAATGCACTGACTATATATATATATATATATCAGGAAAACAAAAAAGACAAGCGGCCATCTTAAACTTTTGAAGATGAAAATTTGGTTTGCTCAAACAAAACAAAATCACCAAGGCTCTGTTTGCCACGCTTAAAACCCGCCACAGTATCTTTTCATTATAGCATATGATGGGGCACTATTCCTTAGTGTTGATACCATACCAATAAGGATATTCTTAAGTGCTAGACATTTCTTATCAAATATTGAATCATTGCACATTCAGATGTTGTTAATTTTGTAACAGTCACTTACCATGTGTACTTTAAAGTGCTATCTCTTCGACATAAACTGATCAAATGACACCAGTCTTCGAGTACACAGACTTAAATAGTTAGAGAATAGTAGAGCTGAAAAATGACATCCTTGCTTAACTTCTTAAATACAAGACTCACCACTTCTCCATTAGCCCTCGTTATAATGAAACGGCAACACACGTCATTTAAATCCAGGTAAATTGAAAGTTGTTATTGGTAAAACGAAAAACCGAGAAGTGACGAGAAATCATTAGTTATACTACATCTAACATTAAATCACATCAGGGAATATAACAACTTTAAAAGTGTCAATTATTTTGTCTTTTGTCAAGACATTTCATTACCTTATTATTGTATTGTGTTTATTGTTTATTGACACAAACTAAAGGCTGTAAATATATTTCCCGTTGGCAGTGGTGATTTATCACGTCATCAAGACATTGACGTGGACTAGAAAACCAATTAAACATGGACAAATCATTTAAGGTAGGAATGTTACTATTCAGTGATGGAAATATCAAACCAATTATTATAAATCTAACAGTGAAGTCATTTGCCTGTAGCATATTGGACTATATAATCATGTAAGTCCTTCATAAACTATAATTCTTTCTTTAATATACATAATGATTCATGATTACTATTCTCTTAGTTACAAAGCGTAACCAGGCTAACAAGTCGAAATGCGATTTAGTTATAGAAAGAAAATACATATCAAAGTCAAAACTCTGAATATGATTCTGTTTTAAATTCAGAAAAAAATATAAAATCATGTTTTGTGTTCTTGGGAGAAAAGAATATTATATTGATTCAAATAGATAACTGACATATCTGTGGGAAATAATTGTGTCCCTCTGTTGACCGACTTTTTTTCTATACATGTCTGAATTTGTTGGAGAACTAGAAGACTATCATATTACCTCGTTAAATGACACATATCTCTTACAATTCAACAACAACAAAGATACTGTCGTGTAATTAAAACCTCCATTTATATCTGAAGTTAATTACGCAATTGCAATATATAACCATAAAAAATGACTTGAGGATTAAGAACGGAAGAAAAATCAACCTTGGTAGATTAAAATTGACCTACACCATGGAGAACGAGTATCACAACAGGTTTAATGACTAGGTGTATGACTGACAGGAAATCGATCTGCTTATATCCTTCATATAAATATATTTTATAGATCGATCTGCTTGTATCCTTCATATAAATATATTTTATAGATCCTTCATATAAATATATTCTATAGATCTGCTTGTATCCTTCATATAAATATATTCTATAAATCGATCTGCTTGTATCCTTCATATAAATATATTCTATAGATATATCTACTTTTATCCTTATATATAAATATATTCTGTAGGTCGATCTGCTTGTATCCTTCATATAAATATATTCTATAAATAGATTCACTAATGCGTCAGGGGTACAATCACATCAATCTATTAAAATCTACTCCAAACAATTCCTTTACGTTACACTTGCCAGAATTTGTGGATTACATGTCTGTGTATCAGTTCCATACCTAAGTCATTGTCTCAATGTCTACTGATGTGTTTGTCTGAGTAAAAGTATAATTTGTGCGTTCACTGTCACTTTTGTCACTCATTGTTCGGGATATGAAGTTAGGAAATAATCATTCTTTTTCTTTTAAACTTCGCCTCTGAATAAAGAAGTCGGTCCTTGGGTACGTTATATAGACCTTCCGATCTCGCGATCTCAAAGGGTTTTACTGTATGTATACACTAATGGAGCCAAATCATTGAATATTCAAAAAGTTAGATTTACAAAACCGATATACAGGTACATACAAACGTATTTAACACGACAGTATCTGGTGCCCAGTATCTTATTCAATGCACAGCAGACATACCTAACAAATCTATATAAGTTACACTGCTGTCAACGCTTACCGTTGATGGTACACATAACACACGTCTGGGTTCATTTGTATATATTTATGTGTGTAGTATGGTCAATATGTAATAGGGTCGGTTTTTAGATAATTTTGGCCGCCGTTGTTTAGCGTCGCTTACCGTTGATGGTACACATAACACACGTCTGGGTTCATTTGTATATATCTCTGTGTTTAGTATGGTCAATATATTAGACAGTTACCGAACTGTTGTATTATATACAAGACTATATCAACAGGTAAAGGATGGAGCATCAAACAAGTCCAGCTTCATATCGCACAAAGAAATAGAATATTTCTCAATGAGATCACTATGACGACAGTGAAACTTCTCCGTGATTTTTGTCAGTCAATTGACAAGCTCTTGCACGAAAATCGAGATAATCGAAACAGGCCCTTGAGACAGGTAAATATCGTAGGTTAGTGATGCAAGAATGTTGATATCCAGAAATGGAAAATTCACGATAAGGAAATTGAAATAATCAGGCTTATGAATTTTTGTGTTTTCACGTCTAGATAGCTTTACATTAATAAGAGTGAGCACCTAGGATTGGGTCGCCCGTGAAACAAGCATAACACAAAAAACACAAGATATTTTTTGTTTACAAAATGTATGAAATATGAGGGTAATACAGAAATAGATAAAATAAAATTTCCTTGCTGACGGTATGAGATTTTAAATTATTCAATGTTGTGAAATGAGGAGACGTCCATTTAATATTTACATATATAATGTATATATAATCTGTGTCTGTACACTAAGGCTGGTCATGTGTGGCTTTTTGTAAAAAAAAAACACTTCACGTTATGAGTGTATCTGACTCAAAAAAAAAGTGTTTCTGACTATTAAGTGTGTATGTGATATATATATACAGGTGTCCAACCTATATATTAATGGCTTAATTAGGATATATTTAGTTGTACTCTTATATATTTAGAAAACAAATAAACCCTAAACCACACTTACTTATAAGTCATTTCTAAATTTATATCAATCACGATAGAATCACACATTTGTGCAATAGAACCGCGTAACGTGCGAACGAATTGCATAACTCATTTCGTCAATTTTACCATCGTGCGCACATTGTGCATACATCGTGCACACATCATGCATACATCGTGCACACATCATGCATACATCGTGTAACGTGTAAGGTATCGTGTACCGTTGTGCGACCCCAAAACTGTATGTAGGTATGTATATGACGTTATCCAATCTATATGTCATCGATGAGATAAGATTTTTTTTAGTCATTTGACATGGTGCTGTATCTGGTGTGGTTTAATTCCCATGTGAATAACTACAGCTTTGTATATTTTTATATTTAGTTTTAGAACTATATAAATATGATAAATTATAATTATAACACAGAGGTACAGTTGCATCTGGGGTAGGTCAATAACATTAAAGCTAATCAGTTCCTGTCCGAGTTACATAAAAAAAAATAAATACGAAAAAAAAAATAAACGTTGCTATAGAAATGCGTGTAATATAGTATTGTAGAGAAATTACGAGCTAAAGAATCACGGATATGTATATATCATATGGTGAGATATACTGACCGTTAATGTTAAGAAATATGAAACGAAACCTATAACAAACGGTTATTCCGCCAGTGTTAATTCACCTGTACAACAAGGAACCGTATACATTTCTCGTTATCTGTCTGTGGTTGACGACTTCGGACAGATATGACATTATCTACACGTGCAATGTGTATAACATAGTGTGGTCATATTGGTGTGAGTTAATGATATACGACATCCGAAAGCGATAACAAGGCGCAATACACACATTTTTTACAGCTACAATGATAATCCGAAACAGACTATAGTAGCGATATTGAGGTTACAATCTCACTGGCTTCAATCCACGACCAGTGTTTACAAACAGACGTGTATTGGGTGTAATGGCGGTGTAACATGGCGACCTACTGCTGATCATTCACGCATAGCTCCACATGAAATGATAAACATTCATATGTTCAAGCTCAAATGATTTTAGGCTAAGGAACATTCACGCGTCACCCATCACCGGCTAACTGAGGGAAAGGATTGTTCGCTTATTGCAGTGTATCTCTCGTCTGTGCTGTAAAACTCGCCATTTTGTAACGGAATCGAGTAGTTCTATCATAACAACAATACAGTAGTAACCGATGATGACGGATAACGAGGAGAGGATTGTGTTGTCAGACCCATCGGAATATCGCCCGGAGTATAAAGACAAGAGGAACTACCGAGAGTTTGATATACATAACTCTCCCACCCGTGTTGTAAACACATACAAGACTATGCATACCCGACAAACCCTGGCCTATGTGCGCGAAAAAATAGAACATTACACAAAATTCAGTCATGCCGAAATGACAATGATGGAAGCGATTAATTCATTGGATGCCTTCATGGACGAAAGTGATCCCGATGTGGACATTCCGAACTCCCTTCACGCATACCAGACCGCGGAAGCAATCCGAAAAGCACATCCGGACAAGGACTGGTTTCATGTGGTGGGATTAATTCACGATGCAGGGAAGGTGATGGCCCATTGGGGGGAGCCTCAGTGGTCCACAGTTGGTGATACATTTCCGGTAGGTTGTTATCCGGATGAAAGCATTGTTTTCGGGACAGAAAGCTTCAAGGATAACCCCGACCTTCAGGATGAAAAGCTCAATTCTAAATTGGGAATGTACACAGAAAACTGTGGTCTCAGTAACGTGACTATGTCTTGGGGCCACGATGAATATTTGTACCGAGTGCTAACCTCTGACCTTAACAAGTGCTATCTTCCAGAAGAAGCGTTGTATATGATCAGGTTCCATTCCTTCTATCCTTGGCACACCTCCGGAGCCTATGATTATCTTTGTAACAACAAGGACAATGAGATGATGACCTGGGTCAATGAGTTTAATCAATTTGACCTTTATACCAAGTCTCCTATTCCACCCGATGTTGAGAAACTGCAGACATACTACAGCAGTCTTATGGACAAATATATTCCAGGAAAGGTGAAATGGTAAAGCTGGAGATACATATTCAACACTGAATACGGATATGCAGCGTCGAGTGAATTACCTGAGGGTGTCTGAGATGAACAACATCATTACAAACACCACTCTGTTTTCACACATAAGTGCTTTATCATACTAGTTCTGGAGTATAGTCAATTATCTATAATGCTGGCATAGCACGGAATGTTTTACCATGTATAGACAAGACATTATGGGATTGACATATTTAGAAAATTGGAGTAAGCATCTTACCGGTGAACGAAATGTGACGTATTCCCAGGGATCAATCGTAGACTTGTTATTCCCTTACAATTTATTTTACTAAGGAAGATAGTTTCCAGGCTCATTTTAAAGTTTTATTTTTTATATATAAATTTGCACGTACTTATATTGTTAACCTGCTGTGATTATAACACTGCTCAAGTTATAGTACATTGCCCTCAGGAAGATTAAATCATTTTATATACAACTGATGTGGGCCAAAACAGCTATTATGGAAAATAATCAGGAATATTGTAACAGCTTAATACATAATATGTAGAGAGTGTCTTGGTCCCCGGATGTAGGCGACGTAAAGGGTGATTCAATTAACATCCCTATATACATTCCATTATTGTCTATCATGATGACGTGAAGGGTCTAATTTTTGAAGTACTAGATTTATGAAGTGCAAGACGATACTATCAATAATACAAAATTTTAGAATATGTTCTGTTGTGATTTTATTGTTTTTTGTTTGATAAACATATTGAACAGTCTTATCTTTTGACCGACTTGTTTTAGAGAATACATTGATAAAGATAATATCATTATTAGATTTATATGCAGTTTATGACATGAAATTGGTGCATTCATTGAATAAAGTTGCTTATTAGTATAGAAAAGAATAATGTACGATTTTAGCATGTTTTCTTATTTATTATTTGTATTTAAATTTGGAGGAGATGATTTAACAAAGAGATTGTTTCAATTAATTAGTTTTATGTAGTTGATACGAACGGAGCTGACAAGTTTGTAAATAAACCGGAAGGAAGCTTTGTATTAATTAAATCTCTCTGTTCTTATTTATCAACGTATTGGCTGTTGTTATTATAGAAAAGATATAGATGTTTTTATTGATATTATTAAGATATTATAGCATTAACAATGGTATTAATATATAGGTAATCACTATGTATTTTATCAATACTCCATATCTATCACGAGGTACACAGAGAAGAGAAGTTAGTAGTTCTGGGGTCTGTTTTTATTATAAATTTACACTAAATGTTTCCATGACGCAATTTATCAAAAGACTTTTACAAATATTTTTACTGGTGTGATGTTTTATGTCAATCTTCAGCCAGATTAACATGAACTCTTTATACAGGCCGGATCTTTATACTATTTAACAGATAATATGATATAGTCTTGTATATAATACAACAGTTCGGCAACTGTCTAATATATTGACCATACTACACACATAAATATATACAAATGAACCCAGACGTGTGTTATGTGTACCATCAACGGTAAGCGTTGACAGCAGTGTAACTTATATAGATTTGTTAGGTATGTCTGCTGTGTATTGAATAAGATACTGGGCACCAGATACTGTCGTGTTAAATACGTTTGTATGTATCTGTATATCGATTTTTTAAATCTAAATTTTTGAATAAGCTTGCAAAGCGGTGAAACTCTAGATTCAATGATTTGGCTCCATTAGTGTATACATACAGTAAAACACCGTATGTTTAACGAAGCGATTACATAACAAACACTCACGACATGGAATATGTTCAGTGTACTTTGTACTTTCACCGATATATATATATTGGAAAATACCGTGATAAAGTTACAGGATAAAATCACACATAAAATATATACTGCACGTTAATTACATTTCACTAATGAGTTATTTCCCTTTGAGATCGCGAGATCGTAAGGTCTATATAACGTACCCAAGGACCGACTTCTTTATTCAGAGGCGAAGTTTAAAAGATTGAGATGCTTTTCCTACATTTATATCCCGAACAAGGAGTGACAATTATTATTATTTTTATTACGATAATTATGGCCCGTCAACACACGAAAGACTATTAGTGTTCAAAAAGGAAATAACATCAAACAAACTAAAACGTAAAAGGCAAATGCTAAAAATCATAAATGATTACATTATCACAAAATATTAAAAATGGTAAGTCATAGTCTATAATACCGATCAACAGCTTTCAGATAACCTAGACTTTTCTAAACCTCAACAGTTTCAAAGATGGTCTTTAGACTTGTAACGTTACGATTAAAAAATTATCGAGTAGACAGAAGGTCAATGCAGTCCAATTAGAGTTTAAATGTTTAAGGAGTGACAAAAGTGACAGTGAACGCACAAATTATACTTTTACTCAGACAAACACATCAGTAGACATTGAGGCAATGACTTAGGTATGGAACTGATACACAGACATGTAATCCACAAATTCTGGCAAGTGTAACGTAAAGGAATTATAAGGTGTATATTTTTATAGATTGATGTGATTGTACCCCGGACGCATTAGTGAATCTATTTATAGAATATATTTATATGAAGGATACAAGCAGATCGATTGATAGAATATATTTATATGAAGGATACAAGCAGATCGATCTATAAAATATATTTATATGAAGGATACAAGCAGATCGATCTATAGAATATATCTATATGAAAGATACAAGCAGATCGATTTCCTGTCAGTCATACACCTCGTCATTAAACCTGTTGTGATACTCGTTCTCCATGGTGTAGGTCAATTTTAATCTACCAAGGTTGATTTTTCTTCCGTTCTTAATCCTCAACTCATTTTTTATGGTTATATATTGCAATTGCGTAATTAACTTGAGATATAAATGGAGGTTTTATTTACACGACAGTTGTTACTGGTTTTAACTGAAGTGTAAGAAGTATGTACCAGTCAATGAAATGATATGATACTGGACTGAATTCGTGAGCTTGAATGTTCAGCGACAGGGTAGCTTTATGTTACGTCGAAAAAATATTTGAAATGCCATTTTTACTGATGTCTTTTTTTATCCTGATGGCTTTAAATGTAGCTCAACATAATATCTTAGTGTATCAATACTAAACCCGTATTCAAACCGTGATTACGATTGTCAACTTTGCCTCCGGAAAATTGAATCTTTCCTCAACCCGATTTTGTTTATTTTAGATTCTTGGTTTACACTGTTACTTTTCCAAAACAGGGTCTGTTATGACGCATCCATTATAGACGTGCGTTCATATTCGTAACTTTCGACTGGGGAAATGATATCTAAGTACATACAGTTTATTATTTCGCTAATTTGTCACTTCATTTTTTTAAAATATATGAATTAAGTATTTAGAAATGACATTTTATGGAGTCCATTTTTGAGGCAGATTTCATTTAGATTGTCGTCATCTTATAGATTTCCTTTAAATTTTGTCTTCATTGATTTTATAAACCTATCCATATTATTTAGTCATCCATTAGTTTCTCTCGCTTCATTGATTTTATAAACCTATCTATATTTTGTTATCCATTAGAGTTTCTCTCGCTTCATTGATTTTATAAACCTATCCATATTATGTTGTTATCCAATAAAGTTTCTCTCGCTTCATTGATTTTGTGTTGTGACTGGGCTTATATTTCAGGTTTTAAAATATCGCTGCTATCTTCTATCCCAACATTAAAACTTCAGCTCTGATAAACTGTAATCACAATCATTGTGTCATGATATTTGATTTCTTCCTACATGCACATCACGTAATTCGAAAAATACAGCTGAATGTGGCAAAACGTGACTACACTTCATGACGAAATCCGGACGCTAAAATTTAATTGGCTTACAAATCATACTTCTAGAGTCAGATTTCGTAATAGATGTCAAATTGTGTGCTTAATAGACCTGAATTGGTAAAAGAACTGATTTGGCCCGCAATCGCTAGTGCAGAATGTAATTCCTTTTCAAGTTATTTCAATAGTTTATGCCGGCTGTATAGATAAAGAACCGTAGTTGAATAAAAGTTTGCATCACAGAACAAGAATTATACTTGTTAAGTGACAAATCTCGTTTAATACTGACGAATCAAGTGAAACTATAAAACAAAACAATGAAACACTTAGCTCGAGTATGATTGACACAAAACGCGCTATTTTGCCAAATGAGATATACAAAACACAGAAAACATTATTTACTTAGTAACGATTAACTGATTAAATCACAAAACAGTGTATGCGGCCACAAACCACATCGAAAGGAAAATATGCATTCGATGCATCGAAAATGTGTTTCATAACACGACGTAGTAGCAACGTTTGTTTTTAATGAAGAGCAAACAGCAGTGTTTCGTATTTGGGATCCTCCATGACAGATGCGATCTCAGATGGTATGTCAGACAGTTCGGAGAGCTTTTTAACATCCTTGCTAACTCTTGGAAAGTTTTCTAGTTTGTCACGTAAAGCCTTTTCAACCATTTCGGGTCAGACACCCGTAGGCTTTTAGCGTGTTTCGTGGACTCTGGTCCGAGGTATTTGATTAAGAGGTCAACCTCTTCTGCGGCGCTAGTTCACGTTTAATATCGGTAAAACTTGCCTTCCAGATAGAGAAATGTTCAGGTTTGTCGTCAAAACTGCTCAGTCTCTGGATAATTAGTCCCTTTTTCATAAGAAACTGTGTGAACTCTGTGAACGCTCTGTGGCCTGGTTCACGGGATATGTTGTGAGCTGGTTCGGAACTCAATCGATGCAGAGATCGCTGTGTTGTCGGCAGTAATCAAGTTTCAAGTTTATTGGATCTTCAGATACATGAAAATGTATAACATGAGGTAAAACAATACTATATCAATAGATAAGTGACAAAATGGATGGTAACTGGAAGTCGTAAAGCTTCACTGTATTTTGTTAGGACTATACAGTACTTTCATAGATCAGACTGATAACAACTAGAACAATACGATTTACTTATATAAATCAAGATGGTAGCATAACATCACGCTATATAAGGATAACATAGTGTTACTTCAAAATATTTTGTTAAGACTTTAAAATAAACAGGGTGCATTTAGTACTTTCAATTTTCATATTGGTCGCAATTAGTACATTCAAATACACTTTGATATAACACCACATTATATAATGATAACACAGTATTGCTTCATAATATTTTGTTACGGCTGTTCAAGATAACCAAAGGGCATTAGGTACTTTTGTATATCAAACTGGTTTCATTAAACCACATTATTTAAGGATAACATAGTATTTTGTTTAGACTTTGAAATAAAATGGGGTATCAAATATTTATATCAAACTGATAGCAATTTGCACATTATATACACTTTGCTATTATAACACCACGCTGTTTAAAATAAACAGAGGGCATCAGGTGTATATGTAAAAGACTGATATCAATTAGTACATCTAAATACCCTTTGATATTATTTAATGATAACGTAGTGTTTCTTCACAATATTTGATTAAGTAAATGCATGGCATCTGGTAGTTTTTTTCATAAAGCTGATATACTTGGGTTTCATAAAACCACTTATATAATGAAAACATTATCTTTCTTACAATATTTTGTCAAGACTGTTTGAAAATAAACAAAAGGCATTTAGAACTTTTTTTATAACAAACTGAGAGCAACCCGTACATTTTGAACACGTTTGGATTTCTCCAGTAATATGAAGGTAAGAATTTCTGTCTCAGTTCAATCAATCTTATATCAGAGCACTGAAATAAGTAATGGAATTCGTCACCTACTGAGGTATTACATAGAGAACATTTCCTATTCTGTCTCTGAACATTGCGCCATCTTCCAGTTTCAATGGGAAATTTCATTTAACAACATCTAATTTTGCATAAAATCCGTCTGTTTTTAACAGAGAGTTGAGTCAGGTATGGCTTAAGCAGTAAAGAATTTTTAAAACTACTTTAGAATAAGCCTCTAGATGAATTTTCTGTTTCGTTTCTCCCTTTTTGTATAAATTGATCTATTAAAATTTTTTTTAATACTGGTTTTTATATAGTATTTACTAATTGGGTCCTGATTCT